TACCCTTATTTGTGACTAATTTGTTTGAAAGGCAGACACAGAAAGGGAGAGAAAGACAAAGATCTTCCGGATCTCATGTCTTAGAAGGCCGCAGTGGCCAGGGCCGGGCCAAGTCAGGAGCTCCTTCCAGGCTCCTGCATGAGTAACAGGGACCCAAGCATTTGGGACGCGCTCTGCTGCTTTTTACAGGCCCTTCTCTGTGTGCTGGATTGCAGGTAAAACAGCCAGCACATTAACTGGTGCCTTGTGGGCGTGCAAGGGTAACGAGTGGCAGCTTTACCTGCTGTACCACAGTGCTGGGCCTTAAGGACTACTTTTTTGTTATAAAATATAAACCAAATATGATTGCCTGTAGTGAACAAACTAAAGTAGTATTAATAAAACAAGTTGTAATAACATGTAAATGTATAACTTTAGCTTTTTATTTATTATTATTGCAAAGTCAGATTTACAGAGAGGGGAGACAGGGATCTTCCTTTCGCTCGTTCACTACCTAACTAGCCACAACGGCCGGAGCTGAGCCAATCTGAAGCCAGGAGCTTTTCCCAAGTCTGCCATGCAGGTGCAAGGTCCCAAGGCTTATGGCCATCTTCGACTGCTCTCCCAGGCCATGAGCAGGGAGCTGGACAGAAGGTGAAGCAGCCAGGTTTTAAAGACCTTTTTCACACTGAAGATGTACAAAAGGTTGTGGCTTTTTGGAACTTAAAAAATTTTTTTTCTTATTCAAATTTGTCACTGTTTCTGCACTGTTTTTATTTTTTATTTGACGAGTTATGACTTAAATTATAAAAATTCACTGTCTTGCTTTTATTTGTGTTTAAACATTGAATTGTTCTGCTGGATTCTACTGTGCAACAATTGTTTTGAATTGAGTGATTTGACACTTAGGCTTTGCTGTTTTGTTTTTCTTCATTTTGTTTTTTCTTCTGAAATACCATCTAGCTCATGGTATATTCAAAACCAGCAGTCTGTTTTGCTTCTCCCACATGGGTGCAAGGGCCCAAACATTTGAGCCATCCTCCACTGCATGTGAAGGGAGCTGAATCAGAAGTGCAGCAGCTGGAATGTGAGCCTGCTTGCTGTGGGATGTTGGTGCTGCAGAGAGAGGCTTAGGCGGCTACTACACCTCTATGCTGGCCCTCCTGCAGATTTGTCTTTAAGAATTCTTTTAGCATAGTTTTTAAAACAAGATACTTTGAGAGGGAAAGCTAATGCTTGTATTTAGTCCTGTGTCTTTAACTTTTTTTGTTTAGAGATGCCTAAGTGTGTGTGTGTGTATCTTATAATCTTATAGTTTATTAGGGTACAAAGGGTCAAGGGCTACAGGAAAGTGGGCAAGATCATTTTTTACACACTAATCATTTTTCCCCCTATATCTAGGTTCAGGGGAGAAACAAAGGGAGAAGCTGTACCCAGCCTCCCATCCATCCCAGGTCCCTGATGTGGGGCATGCTCCAAGGGTCTGCTCAAGCAGTTTTGATAGTTCAGCAGATCTGAATTGCTGCCAGTCTCACCATTCCAAACTGATGAAATCTATTCAGAGTCGTCTGGGTTGCTCCCAGTCGTGGTTCTTGAGCTCACCTGCAGCGATTGTGTCCAACAGATGAATTTCTCAATCTCCTCCATCAGCATCTCTCCCCATGGCAGATCTTGGCATACTGTGGGTCCATGGGCCAGCCCCGCTTAGCCCACCTCCTGTGCTAGTAGGAACAGTGGCCTTTCTTGACTGGCCTTCAATCCATTCCAGTTCTTACTGTTGGATGTTTCAGCCCAGCCAAAGCTCATCCATACCCAGACACTGCTCAGTAGGGGCAGCTTTAGTTCACACTTGTGCCAAGGGATACTGCAGCCTTATTCAGAGCAGAACGCAGCCCCCACTCGGGCCCCTGCACTCACCAGTGGGAACCACAACCCAGCGAGGGTATACTGTCTCAGCTCCCCAGCTGAGCCTGTTCCCAGCCTTAGATTATGCGCATGCCAGTGGTTGCTCTGACCCAGCTGGCTTAGCCTCTCACCTGTCTCAGCCTTTGCCTTCGATGCTGTGGCCTAGTATTCCTGACTCATGCAGACCAGTAGGTATAAAAGTCTAGTTCAGCATGACCTGTGCTCCAGCCTGATTTTTGTTCTTCCTTGTGAGTTGAGATTTGCTCGGCCCTGCCTGGCCCTCCTCCTTCCAGGTGCAGGTCGGCTCACCCCACATCCTGTTTTAGGGTGCACATTCAGGTGCTGCTGCCTTGACCTGCCCAGACTGTTGCCAGTTCCGTTACTCGTATGTGATGGCAGGTTCCATGGTCACACCTAGCTCAGCCCATCACCACTCCAGCTTGTGAGCTAACCAGTTGTACTTGTGTTTCTATAGGGTTTGGTCCACACTTCCCCCACAGAATCTACACCCCCCCGGTCCTGGTTCTCTCATGTGCTGGTTAGTGTCTTGAGCCTGCCAAGTGTGACCTGTCCCCTATTCCACTAGTCAGTCAGGTACAGGTACCTAGCCCTGCCAGACAGGCCCCCAGCCATAGCTTTTGTGTGGACTGTGTGTGGCAGTCAGTGATGCTCTACACTAACAGCCCATCTCAGGACTCCCATGTGGACTGGTGCATCATTCTGGCTTAAATAGATATCATGGATTCTCCCCTCCAAGTCGCCAGGTCTCAGTCCCCACACTTGCCAGCATGTTGCGTGACCCTGTTGCTGGGAATCACCCAGAATTCATCCCTCACCTCATCTCATACTGGCTTTATCTATGGATGTCCCTAGGCAACAATTACATATCCTAAAACCTCCAGAGCTCGCCGCTGGGCAGCCAGCAGGCAGGGCCTAGCGCCAAATAGGCGTAATGGCCACCCAAAGCCTAAGACTCAGTGACCGCCTGGCGGCAGTACCTTTGGCCTGAGTCCCCAGCATTGGGTCCGGCCTGGCTGGGTGATACTTTAAGAGGGAGATAAAGCTAATGCTTGTACTCAGTCCTGTACCTTTAATTTTTTTTTTATTTATTGGAAAGTCAGATTGACAGAGAGGAAGATCTTTCGTCCGATGATTCACTCCCCAAGTGAGCGCAACAGCCGATGCCATGCCGGTCCAAAGCCAGTATCCAGGAACTTCTTCCGGGTATCCCACACGGGTGCAGGGTCCCAAAGCTTTGGGCCAACCTTGACTGCTTTCCCAGGCCACAAGCAGGGAGCCAGATGGAAAGTGGATTAGAACCGGCGCCCATATGGGATCCCGGCACGTTCAAGACGAGGACTTAGCTAGGCTAAGCATAGCTAGGCTATGCTGCCAGGCCCGTGTGCCTTTAACTTTTAAAGTGTAATTTTGTGCCATGCATTTTTCTCCCTGATGTAAAGAGATGGTCCTTCTTGAGTGAGATTGCTTGACAAACTCCGTAATTGTGTTTTTGGATCATGTAATAGATAACATGTAGACTCTATGATGTTCATGGAAAGTATTTTAATAAGGTATGTTTTTCCATGTTGGTCCTTAAATGAGTTTCGTATGTAGCTTCCCTTTGCTCTTTGTACTGCTTAATTCAGTTCTATAGACCTAAATTTCTACTTTCTATTTTTCTTTTACACATATTAGTCACTTGAAGATGAAGATTGTTAAGTCTGTTGTGCTTGAATACTACCATCTCTTGCTTTAAGCTATAAATGAAAATGTGTCCTTGATACTAAAAATCTGCTGTCTAGCACATCATCTTTTCCTTCATATGATGTGCCTGGTGAGCCTGAGCAACTTTAAGTAGAAGGTTTATGGTATCTTCTGAAGTGATATTTGAGTGTGTATACCATTAATGGATTAGGTGATCTGATTTGATGGATGAATGTAGTAAGACCAAAGCCCAGAGTTTGATGTTATTTCCTGCACATCCCTGAGATGCGTTATGTTCTTTTGCTACACTCTACATTCTTCACATTTGCAAACACACTGACTAGTATGTGATAGTGCTGTCAGAAGGTTGAAATAAAATTGTACCCATAAAAATAGGTCAAAGCTAGTAGAACACACATGCCAAGTTTGGGGCTTGTAAGGTGATTCAATTAGACTTTATTTTCATATGTTTGATTATGATCAGCTGCTATTAGTATCAAGTAATCTTTTACATTTCGCTTGGTTACTCAAAAGAATTGACTCAAGAGTAGTATCCTTTTTTGTTTGTCACTTTTCTGTATATTCTTTCAACTAGATCTAATGTTTTTGATACAAACCTTTTTAATTATGTGATAATAGATCAGAAGGTATGAAGCTGAGCCTGATGAATTCTGACTTATGCTCAGGTTTGATTAAGAAGTAGTATAACACTGGTCTGTTCATGACCTAGCTTGCATAGCTAAAATAACATTGGATATAATGCTATAAAGAAGGATGGGTAAAGGAGGGCAAGCCGTTGTTAATCAGGGTACATGAGGAGGAGACTGTTGGGTGACAGTGAATGTGGGATATATCAGGTCTGGACAGCAGTGACTAGCTGGAATGAGTGAGTAAATGTAGTCATTGCATTTTCTTGAACAGTTGACTTTTTAAGGTTTATTTTGTTCATTTGGAAGGCAAGAGACCAGAAAACTTTTCTATCTTCCAGGTCACTCCTCCAGTGTCCTTAACAGCAAGGGATGTTCCAGGTCAAATCCAGCAACCAGGAATTCAGATTCTGAGTTTCCATGTAAATCACAGAGGCCCAAGTACTTGAGCCATCTGTGTTACCTAGGGAGTCCGTTAGTAGAAAACTACAATGGACCAAACCTTGTGGCAGAAGCAGCAGTTTAACTGCTATTCGAATACCTGCTTTACATCCTTGTTTTAAGGATATTATTGAATGAGTCTATTTAATGAGTTTTATTTCAGCCTCCCTCCCCTTTAAGATTTCTTATTGATTCCTCAGAAACATTCAAGAATGAGACAATCTAATTGTGTGTAAAGTGCTTGCGGGGATTGATAGAATTGCTCGTGTTTGGTTACTTTGAGATATTTCTCAACAATGGTCCAAATGTTTGTTTCCATTTTAGAACAAAATCCAATCTCATAGCAGAGGAGAATACAATGTTTACAGCACCTTTCAGAGCCATGAACCAGAGTTTGACTACTTGAAAAGTTTAGAAATAGAAGAAAAGATCAACAAAATTAGGTGGTTACCCCAGAAAAATGCTGCTCAGTTTCTATTGTCTACTAATGGTAAGTACACATTTTCTCCTCTTATGTGCCCACTCTGCACACATATCCAGTAGGCAATTTTTCTTCATTCAAAGAGGGCTTATTATTTACCCATCTCTATAAATCTAATTGGAGGAATTTTTCTCTTATACAAAATATGATGTTTTTATTGTTCACATGCCTTTTTTTAATATAAATTAATTTATTTACTTACTTATGATCTTGACATAGTTGATTAGGGCTCAGAGCATCAAGGGCTACATCCTCTTTTTCCCTTCCTGTATCTGGGAGGCAGAAAGAGAGCAAGGGAGAAGGCTGGTTCTCACATTCACCAGATGGAATGTCAACCCAGAAGGGAGATGCCCACTGTTTCGCTACTGGCCCCATTCATGGATCCTGCACTCTCCAGGTGGTTGAGCAGTTTGGCTTGACAGAATTAGCCCCCCTTGCCAGCATCTGCCTGCTGATGCTGCGGCAGAGCCCAACCAACCCACACACACTCTGACTTATTATGTATGCACCAGTAGGAACAATCAACCCAGCCTGGCCTTTCCCGGATCAGCTCATATGAGGCCAACAGGTGTTGTAGTTTTGCCGGGTCTGGTCTGCCCCCATCCCAACTGTTCACATGCAGTTTTTTTAAGTTTTCTGAAAGATTGTCAAGTGACATTTTTGTTAAGAACATACGCACATTGTAATGAAAAGGATGAGCTGTTCTGTTGGATATCAGTAAACTGATGATAGTCATTTCTGTCCATGTAAGGTTTCCCATTCCAGGTCACTCCCTGACCACATCATTCTTCCCTCGGTCCCTCTCTTCCTTTGGTTCCTTAGATTTAGTTGACAGACACAGTGACACACATAAAACAGGTAGAGGATGGGGAGGAAGAGAAATATTGAAATCTACTCACTAATTCTCTTGTCAAATGGCCAGGGCCAGGACTGGTCCAGACTGAAACATGTCTGGTCTCCCATTTGCGTGGCAGTGACCAAGTTCTTTGTTGCCTTCTCAGACATGTTAAGAAGGAGCTGGAACAAAGTGAAGCATCCAAGGATTAAACTGGCACTTTGATATGGAATGCCAGTGTCACAGGTTGCAGCTTAACCTGATACCCCACAGCACCAGCCCCTTTATCTTTTGGGATTTTTTTGTTGTTGTTGTTTAGTTGTTGTTGTTTCCTAATTTATTTTTATTTGAAAGGTAAATTTTACAGTGAGAGAAGGAAATATAGGTCTTCCATCTGCTGGTTCATTTCCCAGATGTTCAGAGCTGAGTTGATCCAAAGCTGGGAACCAAGAGCATCTTCCTTCCAGGTGTCCCACGTCGGTGCAGAGTCACAAAGACTTAGCCCTTCCTCCACTACTGTAAGACTGTAAGTGGAGAGCTGGGTCAGAAGTGGAGCAGTCAGGACATGAACCTGCATTTGCATGTGTATTAGCCAATTGAGCCACTGTGCTGGCGCTCCCCCCCCCCCCAGGTCTTTTAATTTTCATGTGTGTTAAGAAATCTTTGTTTTGCTTCCTTTATGAATGAAAGCAGGGAGCCATATCAAAGAGGAATGGGGACACAAATTGGTGCCCTCATGGAATGGCAGTGCTGCTGGCAGAGAAGTAACTGGCTATGTCATCTTGCCCCAGCTAGTAGTGATACATAGTCAGTGGTAGATGAAGCAGTGGTAATTTAAGACATTGAATTTGCAAGAAAGTAGTTGAAGGATGGTTGCTGACCTTATTATGTTGTATAACTTCCGTATAGAACAAATTTTGTCTTTCTGAAGGACTTAAGAATTTTGGCATGCTTTCGATCAGTTTTTTTTATTTCAGGCCATATTTAAATGGAGGCCTCGGGTATTATAAAGGACATCTGTGGAGTCTTTGACGGACTCTGCTAGGAAGTAGAACCAAAGAAGATAGTCTGTGTAGCAGACAATCTTTTTTGAGATTAATTTTTTTTTTAATTGGAAAGGCACATTTACAGAGAAAAATATTTTGTTTCCTGGTTCACTCCTCAAGTGGCTGCAATAGCCAGAGCTGATCTGATCTGAAGCTAGCAGCCAGGAGCTTTTTCTGGGTCTCCCATGCAATTGCAGGCTCCCAAAGCTTTTGGCCTTCCTCGACTGCTTTCCCATGCCACAAACAGGATGGGAAGTGGGACTGTCAGGACATGAAGCAGTGCCTATATGGGATCCCAGCACGTGTAAGGTGAGGATTTAGCCACTGAGCCATCGTGCTGGGCCCATAACAGGCAATCTTTAGATGACTTGTTTATTGCCTTTAAGGTTTGTTGTTATTATTGTTGTTGTTGTTGTTATTTGAAGCATCTATGTACTGTATGTATTTATGTGTATAGCTAGAGATCTAGCTGTGACTTGATTTGAACCTCACATGAAACTTTAGATTAAATGTGTAAATTTGTAATTTCTATGTGTATTTGCTTTTGTTTACTAGATAATACCAAGTTTTTAAAAGGAAAAATCTAAGGGAAATAATGAAAATGGCATTTTAAAAATGCTTTAAAGTGTTTTTCGTTCTAGCATTATTAATTCTTTATTCTCTCCTCAGATAAAACAATAAAGTTATGGAAAATCAGTGAAAGGGACAAAAGACCAGAAGGGTATAATTTGAAAGAGGAAGATGGAAGGTATAGAGATCCTACTACCGTTACTACACTACGAGTAAGTGTATGGAAAACAATTTTCTGATGAATAGTAATCTGTATTCACTCCATATAGCTTAGATCATGGTCTTGCACTCACAGTTGCAAATGTTAACTATTACAAGATTAGGTTTTTTTTTTTTTTTTTTTTTTTTAAATTACATTGCATTATGTGACACTGTTTCATAGGCTCTGGGATTCCCCCAACCCTTCCCCATAGCCTCCCCCCATGGTAGATTCCTCCACCTCGGTGCAGTATTACAGTTAAAATTCAGTCAAGATTCTTTCATTGCAAGCATAGAGTCCAGCATGTTATTGTCCAGATAAATTCAATGGTTTCTTGGGGAGACCATCTCTGGTCTGAAGGCAGAGCTGGCAGAATATCATCCCAATCAATTAAAATCCACAACATAACATCAACAACAATTTACAACATTATGGAATTAAGTGATATGGTATTGAGTAACAAATATGTGAAAAAATGAAGATTAAACTTTCGAGATTAATTCTTTTTGGAGTTTAAAAAATAGAAATGGTCCATATTTTACAGTTGTAATTAAGATATCAACAGTTGGATACAATGGGTTAATTTCATTTTAGGCCTTTATTGGTATAAACTAATACGTGTTTATTTGCACTGCACATCTTCAAAGCACATGATTGGAACCAAGAAGAACTGCAAATTTTAATTGCATTGCTACCAACAAAACAAGGTGGATTACGGGCTGCCATTGTGTGGTATATCTGGTTCAGCTGTTACGAGGGATGCCCACATCCTTTATTGGATTGCATAGGATCAAGTTCCACCTCCATTTCCTCCCCAGTTGCCTGCTAATATGTATCCTGATAGGCAGGTGATGACTCAGTACTTGGGTCCCTGCCACCCATATGGGAGACCCGGATGCAGTTCCTGCTTCCTGATTTTGAACTGACCCAGCTCTGGCTCTTATTGGTATTTGGAAAGTGAGCCAACAGAAACAAGATTTCTTTGTCTCATTTTTCTCTGTACTCTTGCAATTAAACAAAAAAATAATAAGTTTAAAGTACCCAAATTGTTCATTTTCTTCTCATTTCAGCACTTTAAAGTGTCAGCATCAGTTCTTTAGAAGTAATCTTACAGCATTTATTGTCCTCTCAGAAATGTGTCGTCCTCTCAAAAATTAGAGCAATGAAGTGTTCTGACCTTGATGTGCATGTGCCTTTTGTAATTTGTTTTCTTATATCTTATTGACAGGTACCAGTCTTTAGGCCCATGGATCTAATGGTTGAGGCCAGTCCACGAAGAATATTTGCCAATGCTCACACATATCACATCAACTCAATTTCTATTAATAGTGATTATGAAACTTATTTATCTGCAGATGATTTGCGGATTAATCTTTGGCATCTGGAAATTACAGACAGGAGTTTTAGTATCCATTTGGTTTCTGTTTTTTTGTTGAGGCTTGTTGTACCCATGTTGGGTTTATTTTTGTCTCTTCAGTGCATTTGATTGCTGCTTATGGTATCTTAATATATTTGATGTCTGCTACCTTTTTCATAGCATATAGAAGAAAAATATTTGAAATTGACAAGAAATATAATGTATTGGCATAAAACTTGAATTTATGAAATTTTAATGAATTTAATGATCGGCAAGTTTTTTCCATCTACTAGGGTCTTGATTCTCATTTTACACATTGACTTGTTAAGGCATATTTACAGATAGGAAAGACAAGAGTGAGAAATCCTGCATCAGATGGTTCACTCCCCAGATGGCTAGAGTTGGATTGGTCCAAAGCCAGGAAACTGGAACTTCTTCAGGCTCTCTCACATGGGTACAGGAGCCCAAGGACTTGGACCATCTTTTGCTGCTTTCCCAGGGAGCTGGATCTATAATTTAATGTTCAAATTTTTTTTTATGAAAATATGAATTAGGTGGCTATTGCTTGGCATTGTAGAGCATCCGTATAGGTGTCAGTTTGAGTTCTTGCCAATCCACATTCTTTGATCCCACAGCCACACGGGTGATCTGAAAAAAGCTCCTGCATCCTGTCTTGGGACTAGCACAGCTCCAACCAGTTGCAGCTATTTGAGGGAATGAACCAGCAGATGGAGGATTGGCCAGGAAAATAAGTTTTTACAAGGCATGATAATATTATGGTGTAAAATCAATAGAAATATTTCTTTGAGTTTTATTGTTTGCTATCCCTGTAGAAATTTTCTGTCCATATATCAGTATGTGACATGAAAATATGTATACTTGGGATACATATGCATAATATATGTGTATGATTATAGAAATGCATTTAAATGATTTTATATTTCCTGACAAATGTTAACTACTAGTAATGTGTTTTTGAAATTTGGACTTGTTTTGTTTGTTTGTTTGCCTTTACTGTGAGATTTTTTTATTTATCTGCAGATAAGTAGTAGTTGAGCAATCAGAATTTCCTTTTTCCTGGTTTTTTTTCTTACTGTATTTATGTTTGCATTATTATATGCATCTTTTATTGTAAATTAACTGTTACATTTGTAACTACATCATTTCTCTTTTTCACCCTCTTAGGGTTTTGTTTGGAATTCTCTTAATACTTTAAATGATTTATTTATCATCTTTTATTTATGACTTCTGGGTTAGACTTTCATATTCCTAGGTGGCTTAAAATTTGCCATATTTTTCTTTAAGATTTATCACATTTTAGCAGTAAAAGTTTTGAATCTCTCTGGAACTTATAAGTAGAATGTAATTCCAGGCTGATACTTGAGTCTAAATCTGTGTGTGGATTTTAAATGTGAGAAATGTAAGATTATATTTGTTTTTTTTTTCCTACGTGTAAATTCCTTAATAAAACACTATCCAGATATCGTGGATATTAAGCCTGCCAATATGGAAGAGCTAACAGAAGTGATTACAGCAGCAGAATTCCATCCAAATAGCTGTAACACATTTGTATACAGCAGCAGTAAAGGCACTATTCGGTTATGTGACATGAGGGCATCTGCGCTGTGTGATAGGCATTCTAAATGTAAGTTTATCTCCTTGAAAATGACGGTCAGTAGGAAGCTAACCTCTGCATTTACAGATCTTAAACTTTTATGCCCATGTCCTCTTTTAAAACTCCCTCCCTCTACCTGGGTCATCATATGGTATTCCACTGAAAGACTGTGGTCAAGTTCTCTTGCGGGGTGTTTCTTTTGGTCTCTGAGAATATATTTTTAATAGAACTCTTCTCAACTTACTTTTCATTCTTCCGCTCCTCATTCTTTTTTCTCTTGTATTTTAAGCTTCCTAGGAATATTCAAAGGCTTCATTAGCTTAAATGAGGTTTGAAAACTACTGAATTTAAAAAGTTATAATGGTCACAGTATTTTCATGCTACTGAGTCAGTTTTTACATAAGTATGAAAATTGGTGCATGCCTGTTTACCAAATTAATTAATTTTTATTTGGCCACTAAAACATAAAATTATGGCATGATGAGGCTAGGTAGGAATAACATGCTTTTTCTGGTGATGACAGGGGTCAAGTTAGTGAAGACTGTTGCAAAGTAGAATACACCAATCAACCTGATAGCTAGAGTTACAAGCCCCAGTGTATCTGGAAAAATTGACTACGTGACTCCAAATAAACTTTGTGGGAATTATTTTGTATAAGCCAGAATATTGTACACCTTGCCTTTTTATTCTTTTGCTTGTTTTTAGTGTTTGAAGAACCAGAAGACCCCAGTAACAGGTCATTTTTTTCTGAAATCATCTCTTCTATTTCTGATGTAAAATTCAGCCATAGTGGTCGATATATGATGACTAGAGACTATTTGTCAGTCAAAATTTGGGACTTAAATATGGAAAACAGGCCTGTGGAAACATATCAGGTACTTGTGGAGTTTTTTCTTTGAGCATTTGTGTCTAAATAAAGTAATAACTCAGAAAACAGGTAAGTATTGAGCAGTGCCATCAAATATTCAAGTGGTGCCTACCCACAGTGACCATATATTTTATTACAAGAACAGTATGGTCATGCTGTGCAAAGCATCTGTATGCAATAAGAAACAGTTCTCACTTAAACTATCCAGAAAAAAATAACATAAAAGTTAGCATGGCATTCATATTTCTAGCAGTATGTGAAGGACTGAAAAGATATAGTGATGATTCAAATGTTGCTGTAATTTTATTTTATGAGGTTCGTATCTGTACCATTTCGTCTTTTTTTTCCCCCTCCCATTCTGAATATTTTCCTCAGAGTTACAAGTGTCATACCAAGAATGGAAGTTGTCCTTGTTTTTTGTACAGCAGAAAAATGTGTGGCCTCCTTGAAATGTGCATTTGTGTTACTAAGCTTATAGAAACTTAATGTTTCGTTAAAACTTAAAGTTTTGTTCATAACATACATATAGTGCCTTTTTTTGCTACTATTTAAAGATAAGAACTTGTTAAAAACACTTTTCTAATTAAGTTACACAGAAGTGTATATATGTCTTGTTTGTGTTTTTTCCTCAGGTGCATGAATATCTTAGAAGTAAACTTTGTTCACTGTATGAAAATGACTGCATATTTGACAAATTTGAATGTTGTTGGAATGGATCTGACAGGTAATTGCTTTTAATTTTAACTGCTCATTTAGATAAAAAAATTTCATTGGAGGAAAGGAGGGCTTTTTTGCTTACTCATTTGCCTGAAAGGCAGGCAGAAATCTTCCCATCCACCTTTTCACTTCCCAAATGCCCCAAATAGCCAGAAAAGGGCTAGACTGAAAGTAGGCGCTAAAATTCTATCCTAGATTCACTTGGGTGGCAGGGTCCTAGGCCCTTACACCATCTGCTGCTGCTTTCTCAGGCATGTTTACAAGGAGCTGAATTAAAAGAGGAGGGAGCCTAGACCTGACTTTACATTGAGTATGGTGTATGGCCATCCCAAGTTATTGCTTAATGTGCTATACCACAATACCTATGCCTGAAAAGCCCTAACTTCATTTTCCTGATGGGATGCCTTGAAATACTAGTACATAAAAATGAAGCATAGTTTCATAAGCTGCTGTAGTTCGACAGCAAAGAGCGGCCCTCTCCCTCTCCTCCCCTAGGACACAGGAGTCGAGGGCGGTAGGAATAAAACACGTGCCCCACCAACCTCTCTCCATCTCCTTCTGTCTGTAAATCTGCCTTTCCAATAAAAACAAATAAATATTTTTAAATGTCTCCTGTTTATTCCAGTCACTGACTTGGTGTCAACAGTCTTGTTGATTAAATCAGCTGGGGTAGTTAGTCTCGGCTAGGTTTAATTGACCTGCTAAAAACAGCCTTTTACTCCTTTGTTTCACTGATTGTTTTGTCTACTTTTACAGTGTTGTCATGACTGGATCTTACAATAATTTCTTCAGAATGTTTGACAGGAATACAAAACGAGATATAACTCTAGAAGCATCACGGGAAAACAATAAACCTCGCACAGTTTTGAAGCCTCGGAAAGTCTGTGCGAGCGGCAAGCGAAAGAAAGATGAAATAAGTGTTGACAGCCTAGACTTCAACAAGAAAATCCTTCATACAGCCTGGCACCCCAAGGAAAATATCATTGCTGTAGCTACTACAAACAATCTGTATATATTTCAAGACAAAGTGAATTAGGGTTGGCATTCCTAGGAGAGGAGCCCACTTCCTGCTTAGTTGAGATAGTTGAAATCTAGCATTCGTACCTATAAAAGAGAGAGGTCCATTGTGGTGCCCCTTTCCAGTGTTTGACAGTGTGCCATTTGACAACACATTTTTATATAGCTACATGGAGAAAGCTCTGTGGGTTCATCACTTGGTGTTCTCCATGTCTGCTAGCCATTTAGGTAAGGGTAGGGCACTTTTAATTTAAATGACTTCTTGCACCATCTTGCCTAATGGACTAGATTGGACTGTATCAACATTGATTTACTCCACTTTTTATGCCTTCCATTGTGATGATGTCAAACACAGTGAAAGCCTTCAGTCATGCTATGGGATTTAATTGTGTATCCTCATTACTGTATCATTGTGGGGTACACCCCTCCTTCCCCTTTTTTAAATTAAATACAGCTCATTCTTACTGTGGCTTGTAGCATTCCTCCTCTCTGACCTCCTGGACTCTCCCCGTCATCTCTCTGACCTTTGCCCCACCCACCTGGTCTTGGTGGTGGTATATTACAAAAAGAATGAAAGCACACAAAATGAGTCAGTTTGGGGTTAGTGGTAAAGGGGGTATATGTTGCGAACAAATGTTTTAATAACAGTTGGCTGTAATCACTCCTTGCCATGTCTGGCACTGAAAATAAGGAAAAAAACTACTACTGAATAAAAGTGACAAAGAATGGAGAATCTGGTTTTCTTTTTATTTTTTTTTAATCTACCTCTTTAAGTCAGTATTTTGTTACATACCCTTGGATGTAGTGAAATTAAATGGGTTTCCATTGTTTTATTACTATTTTTTGTTAATTTTTTTTAACAAGTGTTCTTTAACATGGATTAAGAGATGTATTGGTTCTGTATGAACATTTTTAAGTATATATTGAATTATTAAGGATTTCATAATCTGAATACTACTAGAGATTTTTTTACTGTAGTTAAGAGGGAATCAGATACATAATTTATCTGTTGATGGAATTATAAATGGGCTCCAAATTTGTAGGACTTTATCTTAAAATGACTTTTTACAGTGCTAAATTTCATTTTTGCCTTACAAAATTCTAAGTCAGACTGAAGTGTTTTTTTTTAAACAAGTTAAGAACTTTTTTTTTGTCATTCAGTGTTATAGCATAAAATTAACATTAGACGATTCAATACATAAAGTTGACACTGCACTAAATAACTTTTTATTGCTGTCAAATCAGATTTAATTGTAACTTGCCATAGATATTTTTCTTCTATTTTTGATTTTCCAAAGTTGTATTAAAGAAGACGCTTTAAAGGTACAGTGCTAAATGCTCACTGGACTCCCAGCGGCTGCCTCAAATAAAAGGCTAGTCATTTGTGCATGACTACATTTTCCCTGAGTGGTAATACTCTATCCAAAGATGAAGAATGCCCCTATTTTTAATAGGTACAATATACCTTTGTCAGTCTTGAAAAAGCTTTAATGGAGAAGAAATGGACTTTATTTTTAAGAGATGAATTGAGCAGGCATTTCTATTAGAGAGTGGTGGTATATTTTGGTTGAGCAATAATGTTACAGCCTTGAATTTTAGAGGACTGCTTCATTTATGTCCACTGCCTATTGTTCAGATGCAAATTGATTAAACAATTTAACCATAATTCCCTCTACACTTATATAAGAATATTATGTCTTGGAAGTTAACGTTTTTAGCACATAGGAGGAATTTTGTGTAATAAAATTACTGTATCTTTTGGACTTAGCAAGTCTGAATGAATTTGTATTTAAACACCAATTATATGTCTTATAAAATTTAACAGCACTTTTTCCAGTTTATTTCAGGATCGTTGGTATATTCGTAATTTGTGCTATTTATTCTTCATACCTATCTTGAAAGTGTATTGTTTCGCTTCCAGAAGTATTAAGTAGTGATACCCTATTTTCTGAATGAGCACCTTTCCAGACGATTTTTTTGGGAGGTAGTTTCCCTAAGCTTGGGTTGTATGCCTTGATGGAACGCCACCAAATATCTCTTGGAAATTCATTTTTGATTCATCTGTAGCTAAGATGATACTCATCCATCACACTAAGGGATAGTTTCATATATTTAAGATTAAAATGCCTCTATAAGGAATGCTATTATAAATTGTAACATTCTTAAGTATTCATTTTTAAATTTCTTTGGTGTAGCAAACTATGAGCCCAGCCACTCATTTTATATGGTCATGGTTAATCTTTTTATTAATAAAAATTATACTTAGAATAAACTTAGTCTTGTCAAGTTGCTTGTATTTCCTGTTCTCTTGTCACTAATATATATGTGCATATTCTGTCCCTTTCTTAAATTTTTTTTATAAAGAGTTGCGACAGGGAAGAGAGCTTCCATTCTCTGTTCATCTCCTTTGATCTTTACTTAGTGGCTGGGCAATAGTAGTAGTCTGTAATTTATATAATGGAAACTTGCTTATGTAGCAACTCACCACCAGAATTGCAAGTCCTCAGTCTCTTATAATTAAGAAAGCATTCATGCACTTTTCTTTTCCAATTACTTTTTTTTTTTCAGTTACTCCAAAAGAAAACAAGAAACGAAACAGGTTCTTTGAGTATGTTACAGTATTTTGTAAGAGTACTGTGTTTGTTTTTGGAAAGAGAATTGGGAAAGCCAAGCAATAGTGATTTAAATTCTATTTGGTTAAAACATTGCTGCTTTAGTGAGTATGTTTCTGCATGTTAACTGCACATAAATTCAAGTGGTGTTGGTAATATGTGCTTCTGGATGAATAAAACCAACGAAAGTCTAAGCTAGTCACCGAAAAGACAGGTTGTGCTAGGTGATGAATAATAAGCTGAGTGAATATAACAGCACCACTAATTGAAAGTATCTTAATAATGTCTAGATGATTGAAGGTGTTGGTGTGTGCAGCCATAGTTTAAAGGGTTTTAGAAACATATCCCCTTTTATTGTGACAAGTGAATCCAAGAAATCTTGGGTATCCTCACATGCTGAATATATCTTGCTAATTCAGTTTTTATATTATATTGCAAAATTATATATCAGTTAATAAACTACCTAGACAAAAATTGGTCATCTAGAATGTCCCTTAGCAGTGTCTGTCAAACACAAGGCAATGTAAAGCTCAGTTTCTTCCACAAGGAGAAATTTGGGAAACATGAACTAACTGGTGTGCAGTGAAAGGCTGGCATTTGTTTCTGGTTTTGTTTATAATGTTGTGTTCACGTGTACTGCTGAGTAATATGTGAATAGCCACAAATTACTTAAGGATTTTCCCACTAGGGGGCAGTGGTTAGGGTTTAACAGCATTTTTTTTTTCCCCAAAAAGATTTAATTTTTATTTGAAAGATTTTACAGAGAGACGTCTTCAGTCTTCTGGTGCATTTCCCAAATGGCCCCAATAGCCAGAGCTAATCTGATATGAAGCTGAGGGCCAGGAGCTGCTTCTGGTTCTCCCACATGGGTTCAGGAGTCCCAGTGACTTGGGCCATCCACCATTACCCTGAGAGGTAATAAGCAGAGATGAATTGAAATGGAGCAGCCAAGACTCATACTGGCATCCATATGGAATGTTGGTGCTACATGGTGGAAGATAAGCTTGGCATCTTGCCTCCCCTAATAGCATCTTTGAGATAATTTTGAGAATGTATAAACGGTAATTCTGCTTCCAACCTGCAAGAACTCCATTGTTAATGGTCAAATTAAGGGGGAAAAAAATCTAACCTGGACATACTCATACACACCCAAATAAAACTTGACTCTAGTAAGGAGTGTGATGGAGAAGGGAGCTGAAATCGGATCTCTGCAGGAGAGCAATCCAAAGAGAAGGAGCCTACCTAACAATGGCCATTCACATTCTTAAGTATTTTATTTTCTCATAGGCTTGCAATTATAGATAATCAGAATAGTAAACTTAGCCTATTAATTTTGGGGTATAAAATGATACATTGCTAGAAATCTAATTGTGTACTAAATGATATGTAGAGTTAAGATTAGTCACATGGTGTCAAATGTCCCTTTCATATTCCATCACATGTACACAGAATTACCCATTAATTTCTTCCTAATATAAAGTGTGTTTTTCCGTTACTTAGGCAATGCCTTTTCACTTTTTTTTTTTTTTTTTTTAAGCATCTGAAAGAGCTATTGTCTGCTGGTCCCCTGTTACAAACTCAAAACTGGTAATCCAGACCCAGGCCTAGAGCCAAAAACCTAACCCAACTTTCCTGTGTGAGTGCCTGGAACCCAAACCTACGTCACTGTCTTTATCAGCAAGAATCAAAAGGCAGAGCCAGTACTCAAATCCCAGGCATTCCAAAATGGGCTGCTACCTCAGCTAGCAGCAACTTGGCCACTAAGCTGAACACCTGCCTCTCAACATCCATTCAGAAGCAGAAATTCTTAATTTTCACCAAGTCCACTCTATCAGTATATTTTATGGATTATTATTTTGGTGACATGTCTAAAAAATGTATAACTTGTTTTTTGTTTATATTTTGGTCTGTAACCCATTTGGGTTTGTATATACCACATATATAAAGAAGTGTATAAAGTAAATACAAATATCTTCCACATCTTTGTTGACTATGTATATATGAATTTATGCTATCACCAATACAATGTCTTTACTATAACTTTTCATAAGTGTTGAAATTTGGTAATGGAGATAACACGATTTTATTATTTTCCAAAATTCTGCTGTGTTAAATGTTTTTGGCCTTAACACAGACATTTCAGAATCCACTTGTTGACTTAAAAAAAATGCTTAAATTTTATGACAGTTCTTGAATGTATAGACCAATTCAGGAAGGGTAGACAGCTTAGTAACTGTTCATTCATTACAACCTATTGTTTATTTATGTATCAATGTGTTCTGTTATTGCTGTTTATTTTTAGCATCCAGACCATGTACACTTATTGCTAGTACATTGAGTTTCACAAAGTTTTTATGTAGGCATATTCCCTTCCAGTGCCTTTTGTTTGTTACTGTTTCCATTTGAGAGGCAGAGAGAGAGTGTGTGTGTGTTTGTGTTTGCAAGTTTCCATTCTTTGGTTCACTGTCCGCATGTCCACAGTGGTCCTGGTCAAGGGAGCTGACATGGGGAGCTGGAAGTTAAAACCAAGCCTGCCACGTGGACAAGGACCCAACAGATGGAGCCATCCTGCAGCTTCCCCGGAAGCTGATCAAGAGCAGAGCTGAGACTCCAGCACAAGCCTTCCAGTACTGCATGCAGTCATCCCAATCCGCATCTTAAACTGATAGACCACACATTCAGCTTTCTTTTGCACTACTGCCCTAGAAGATTCTCAGTATGATGTTGAACAGGAGGAAGAGAGCAGGCCGACCATGGCCTTGTCATTGATACTAGGAGGAAACGTTCAGTCTTTTACCATATAGGATTTCTAGAATGTTGAAGTCTTACCAGACTGAGGGTTTTCTTTTCTGATAATTCTTAACCATAAATGGATGTTGGATTTTGTCACTTTGCAAATATTGAAATGATTGTAGTGTTTTCTTTATATTGCATTTGTGATGTTGTACTGATTTTCAGATGTTGGCCTAGTCTTGTTTTCCTGGACTGTTGCTAGATTGTTTTGCTAGATGTGGAAACTTCAAAAATTCATGAAACACTGCATTTTGAAGATTTCATTTATTAACATGGGCATGATGGCCCAGGAGGGTAAGCTGCCACTTCAGACTCCTACATTGCACATCAGAGAGTTCAGGCTGCTCTGCTTCGGACCCAGTTTCCTCATGTTCTGGGAGGTATCAGGTGATGGCTCCAGGGCTTGAGCCTGCCGCTGCTGTGGGAGACTGGGCTGAGGTGCCAGGCCTTGTGGCTTCCACCTGATAAAGTTCTGGATGTTGGAGACATTTGGGGAGTGAACCAGTGGATGGAAGAGCACTCACCCGCCCTCTATCTTTGCAGACCCCTCATTTTGTTCAGTCTTTTTACGTCGACGTTCAGGAGAAACTGATCTGTACTTACTTACCTTGTAACATCATTGCTAATGTAATGCTATTTAACACAGTGACCTCAATATCCCTTAAATATTCGGTGGAATTCATTACTAACAAATTAAATGTCTTGTCAAGTCTTATAGCTATGAGTCATTGCCAGGAAAACTGGTTTTTATTTCTTTCTTTTTGGAGTTGAAATGTATTACTGCCTTAATCTGTGAATTTTTCTGCAAAGTTAGGAAAATAAAGCATTCTACTTCATCACACAATAAGTGTAGTAGCCCAAATCTAGTTCAGACTTGTTGCCTAGCAGTTTACTTAATAATGTCTTGGATTTTTCTCTGACCAGGTCGTACTTTAAGTAGTAGATATGGCAGTAAAGATGTGCTGGAGTGCCACACTAGAAGCCATATGAGGCTCACAGAACCTCTACCCGCTTCCCTCCCATTTTATCTTTCTACTGACAGCAGGAGCTGATCTGTATCACAGTAATTTTATTATGATTGACTGAGAATGCCTCACAATATCTTAGCTTCTTTTTAATTCCGTTTGCACCGTCTTGCCTGATGCAGAATTAGGAACAAAAAAGGAAAATCACTTGTAATTGGGTGAGGTATTGGACTTCTTAGGCAAAGACCAATTTGTGCATGCCCACAGAGCTGAAAGAATTAGAATCACAGTCTTAACACAGAGAAACAGAAATAACATTTTTTTAAAATTGTATATTAAGTAAAGTGGCTAAAGGGAGAGTGAATAGCTGGATTTCCGCAGGAGGAATAAACAGTCTGCAAACTTTAAGGTTAGTCAGTTGGAATTGCTGCCTACTGGTTGTGGGAAGGACAGCGGCCTTTGACCTGCTTGTTGCTCAGTGAAGAGTCTGGAGTAGTTACAGAGTGAAAGCTAAGTCACAAGAAGCAGCAAAAGCACCCCCACGTGGGACTGGACTCATGATTTTTCTCCCTCCCTACCTTAATCTGAGGTATGGACCGCTCAACAGATGCATTAGTAGGGATTGTATTGGATTAGCTCTCCTGCTCCTGTTCATGAACAAGACAGGGGTCACTAGTGGGGTTCCCAAACCTCTGATCAGGAGCAGGGGAAGGGTCAGTAGTTGCAGCCTCTGTTTCTGTCTACGTGTGGGAAAGGTTGTAGTGACTAGTATTTTTCCATTCCCTATATCCTTATCTTACGTGCTATATAACACCTCTTACTTTTGGTCTGATATAAATTGTATTTTCTTTTATTTTTCTTCAGAGAGGTAGGATTCTCCGAGAATTTGCCCCCAAGTCCATGGTTTTTCTCTAGTTCAGAGGCCCCCTTTCCCTGTAACATGATCCAGTACTTGGCAGCGAACAGAAAAACCCTCAGAAAGTTGGGATACCATCAAGCACACCAACACATGTACAACTGGGAGTTTCAGAAGCTATTTGAAGACACAATGGTTTTCTAAACCTCCCAGCTTTGCTAAAAGGTATGAATATACATCGATGATAGCTTAATAAACTTTGGAAAACAACAAATACCTCCTCCCCCCACAACACACTGAAACCTTGTGATCAAATTATGAGAAGCCCAGGACAGAATCTGGAGAGCTGCAATAAAGAAGTGATTCCACACAGAAAGTCCTCAGTAAGACACTACCGGATTGCACACCAGAAATGCTAGAGGGTCACACATTAAAGTGCTGATGAGAAGAATATCAGCCAAGAATTCAATCTATAACAAAATTATCCTTCAAATTTTGAAATGAAATTAAGACATCCCTGGATAAACAAAAACGGATGGAGGGCATGCTAGTCAACCTTTCCCACAAAATAGTGCTGAAGGAATCCTTCAGGTTGAAAATGAGGAAATCATTGCAAACTCAAAGCTTTATCAAAAATTAAAGAGCTGGGCCCGGCGCAGTGGCGCAAGTGGTTAAGGTCCTCGCCTTGCACGCCCAGGATCCCATATGGGCGCCGGTTCTAATCCCAGCAGCCCTGCTTCCCTTCCAGCTCCCTGCCTGTGGCCTGGGAAAGCAGTTGAGGACGGCCCAAAGCTTTGGGACCCTGCACCCGCGTGGGAGACCCGGGAGAGGCTCCTGGCTTCGGATCGGCATAGTATCGACCGTTGCGGCTCACTTGGGGAGTGAATCATCAGACGGAAGATCTTCCTCTGTATCTCCTCTCTGTATATCCACCTTTCCAATAAAAAATAATAAAAATAAAATCTTTTAAAAAAAATTAAAGAGCTATGATTAAGTAACTATTGTAGCACAAAAAACAGTGTTACTCCCTCTTCTATATTTTTAAGATTTATTTATTAGAAAGGCAAGTCAGATTTAAAGAAAGACAAACATCTTTTATCCACTGATTCACTCCCCAAATGTCAGAGCCAGAGCTAAGCTGATCCAAAGCCATGAGGCAGGGGCTTCTTCCGAGTCTCCCATCTGGGTGCAGGGTCCCAAGGCTTTGGGCTGTCCTCAACTGCTTTCCCAGGCCATAAGCAGGGAGCTGGGTGAGAAACAGCCAAGACATAAGCCAGCATCCACATGGGATCCTGGTACTTGCAAGGTGGGGATTTAGCCATGAGCCATTGCACCAGGCCCTTATGCTGCTTTCTCAGGCCATTTTTAGGATTCGAAATGGAGCACCTGTCACCTGAACCAGCACCTATATGGGATGGTAGCACTACAGGCTGAAGGTTAATTTTTTGTGCCATGATGCTCACCTCTTTTGTTCTATGTTTAAAACAAATCCATTAAAAATCCATACTAATGACACACAAAGTAAAATGATAAAACTTGGGTTGGTGTTGTAGCACAGGATGTTAAACTATCACTTTTTCTGGCTATTCCGTATCCCATCCAGTTTCCTGCTAATGTGTCCTGGAAGGCAGTGGATAATGGCTCAAGTAATTGTTTTACCGTAAGGCCATTATGTATTTATGAAAGGGTTATTTCATGCAGATATAATGAACATGTCTAGAAGGCCAGCGCTCTAGGACAGCAGATAAGCTGTTGTGTGTGACTGTACATCCCTGCAAACGTGTATCCTGGGGACAGTAAGCGATGGCCCGAGTACTTGAGTTTCTGGTTTCTGTCATCAGCCTGGCCCAGCCCTGGCTGTTGGGGGCATTTAGGAATGAACCAGTGGATGGAGGCTCTCGTGGCCTCTCTCAGAGTGGTTGGGTTTCTACCTTTCAAACAGGTAAATCTTTGAAGAAAATCTGTCAATACTCACCACTGGGGCCGACTTCCAGAAATGTTACAGAAAGTTTCAAGCATAAGGCAAATGGTATTAGATAGAAATACAAATCCTGACAAAAGAATAAGGAACAGTTTTCATGGTAACCACAGGGATAAATGCACCCAACTTTTCTCATTTAAAACTTGAACAGGTCTTAAGCCCAGAGCAGAAAATTTTCTGATTCGTTTTTAGAAAATGAGCCAAGGATTATGCCAAAATACAAAAGATGAGACATTTAAGCCTTTTTGAAGAAATGACTGAAAAGAAAGTTGAACACAAATATGCGTGACAGTGTGCTCTGTGGTGGCAATATTCTAAACCTGTCAAGTGTCCCTTCAATTATTAATTGAACATTTATGATAATTCTTTTCTGTTAAATATTTCTTTTTTAAGTTTGAAAGTTACACGGAAGTGGAGAAACAGAGCAATCTTCCATTCACTGGTTCACATCCCAAATGGCCACACTGGCTGGGACTAGGCCAGTTAAAGCCAGGAATTTCTTCCAGGTCTCCCACAGTGGGTGGCAGGTGACCAAGCTCTTAGGCCAACTTGCACTGCTCTCCTAGGCATATTAGCAGGGAGCTGGATCAGAAGTGGTTCATCTGGGTATGGAATGCTGACCCCTCAGGGTGCAGCTTAATTCACCTATGCCACAGCACCAACACCACTCTCACAGAAAGCTTAAAAGTATCTGCAGTAGCGAGCCAGTGCCATGCTGTAGTGAGTGCAGCTGCCAAAAGGCACACATTCCATACCTGAGTGCCTGTTTGAGTCCCAGCTGCTGTGTCTTCCCCTGCTAATGTTTTTGGGAAAGCAGCAGAGAATGGCCCAAGTACAGCATATCTGGCTCCTGGCTTTGTCCCGGCCCAAATCCAGCTCTTGGGGCCCTCTGGGGAGTGAAGTACCAGAAAAAAATCTCTTCCTGCCCCATCCCCATCTCTCTATATTTCTCCCCCTCTCTGTCACTCTGCTTTTCAAATAAATGAGTAAATCTTTAAAACTGAATGTGCAGTAGGATTTGACCAACTAATCTTTGAAAAAATGTTTAAGCACAGAGTTATCAAATAACATTGGAATGGCAGTTTAATATTCATTTGTCACTTCAGTCATTTTTAGTTCATATGAAGGATAATCTTTTATTTAAAAGATTTTATTTTTATTGGAAAGGTAGATTTACAGAGAGAAGGAAAGACAGAGGAAGATCTTTCTTGCACTAATTCACTCCCCAAGTGGCCACAATGGCCAGAGCTAAGCTCCAGTCTGAAGCCAGGTGCCTGGAGCTTCTTCCTAGACCCAAGGCTTTGGGCCATCCTCGGCTGCTTTCCAGGCCACAAGCAGGGAGCTGGAGGGGAAGTGGAGCAGCTGGGACATGAACAGGTGCCCACATGAGATCCCAGCACACACCACACAACAGGATTTTGCCACTAGGCAATTGTGCCGGGCCCATGAAGCATAAGCTCCCCCACCCCCACCCCCAAAAATGTCAAATCTTTCAAATAGACAAAACTTTCAAAAACACTAAGAGTTGTCTGACAAGGCTGAAGCACACATTTACATTTTTGTTGGCATATAAGAGCATGCTATTTCAAATCATGGAAGAACTGACAACTTTTAAATGACAATATTGTCGGGTTAATTGGCTACAAAAGTGGGAGGAATTAATGTTTTACAACATGCAAAAACTAAGCTGCAGATAGATTCGGGTCTAAATATAAAATTAAAGCTATAAGAGAATTGGAAAAAGTTACAGGGTTAAGTCATCTTAGTTTGAAGGTCTTCCACAGAACTTTGAATACAGGAGAAACTTAATGCCCGCAGAGCGAAACAAGATAAATGACAAATGTCAAGTGTGAAGCAGGTGAAGTTTTAGGAACAACGCAGTTTAGTGTTACCTACTGTCGGACACGTGGCTTCCTACCAAGGCCAAGCGGTGGGATGGGGGGGGGGGTTCTTTTCTTGGTTGTCTTTCTGAATGGTTTTTAAATTTTTATTCATTTTCAGCAGCGTTACGAATTCTGTAACAGGTAAGAACAGTGATTCAGTGTTTCATGCATGGAATGTTGATGTCTCATCAGCTCTGCTCTAGGTTAACGACACGGAGCATTGAGATCTTCTGAGTCCTCAAGCGCTAATTTAAAAACACTCGGAGAGCGGACAGAAGCCAAGTGGGTTGTAGAAGTGTGGGAAGAGGTGAGAGCGCAGAGACGGGCGCGGCTGGCCCTGCCGCAGGACCCTCTTCTCCAACCCGCTTCGCTCCAGCCCCCTTCGCAGTGCACCTGCATCAGTCCTTCCAAACCACACCGCGCAATTCAAGCCTCCCGCGTGTCCGGCGCGACGCCCGCGTCTCCACGTCCCGGAGCCCCGCCCAGCCCCGCCGCTTGTTGTGTTGTCATCACGTGCCCGGGGCGGGCCCTGACGTCAGGGGCAGGGGAGGGACTGCGCACGCGCAGAAAAGGGGGCGGGGGACTCGGCTTGTTGTGTTGCCGCCCGGGAGCCGGAGACTGTGCTCGCTGCGGCCGCGGCTCCTCCAGCCACCCGACCATGTCGTCTCATCTGGTCGAGCCGCCGCCGCCCCTGCACAACAACAACAACAACTGCGAGGAAGGCGAGCAGCACCTGCCCCCGCCGACCGGCCTCAACAGTGAGTGCTGGCCGGCGGGGCTCGGGGCAGCGATGGGGGAGGAGGAGCTGCCCCGGCCGCCAGCGCCGCGCGCGGGGGGCGGGAGGAGAAGGCCGCCGATTGGCCCAGCCGGGCGATGGTCCGGGGATTGGCAGCTCCGCTCACCTGTCAGGAGGAGGCGCCTCTGTCAGCCTCTCGGGCCGTCTCCCTCGCCTGTGGGGTGTGGGGCTGGGCAGGGGACCCGACGGGGCTCGAGCCCGGGCCGGGGGAGAGGGAAGGCGGCCGGAGGCCAGGAGGCCCGCTCGGGCAGGGCAGAGCCCACCTGTGCTGGGCCCCAGCCGCCGAGCCTATCGGGGCTGGGCGGGGAGGCCGGGTGGGCGGAGCGGGCCGCCGAGGGGACGTGGGCAGGGATGGGGACGTGCGGCGGGGACGCCGGGGGATGGACGCGCGGCGGCGGCCGAGGACGTGTCACACAGCAGGTGTGCTGTGGGGCGGCCGCTGAGCCCACCCCGTGGGCCGGGCTTGCCCGGGCGGGGACCTGGCAGCCCGGAGTTGCGTTCCTTTGTTGCCACATGCTGGTCAGGGAAACCCATTTGGCAATTGAGTGCTGACTCTTATCACGTGTTGGGGTGAAGAGGCTATGCCCTTTTTTTTTTTTTCCCAAAGTTGCTCAAGTCTTTTGTGCATTCATTTTAACGATGCAGTGGTGTGCCCAGTGTAAGATCAGCCTCACACACGCCACCCAGGAGCACACCTTGCACGGAGTTTGGGGTGATGAGTGCTCAGAAATGGAATAAACACACCTGGAGCAGCCGTGAGGGGAGGGAGTTGGGGGGCGGGATGGAGTTGGGACACACTCCGGTTACTTTGCGTGACATTCCAGAGCCCAGACGTCTTGTTCGCAGTGTGGGAGCCTCGAGGCTTTCTGCCTAACCTTTCTGTAACTTCTGTTACGAAAGAGGTGGTGACGGCAGTCAGCATATGGGCAGACCAAGTCGCTTAAAAACCATTTGGATGCTTAAAGGTCACACAGTCTCTTCCTTCCCTTAGCGGGAGGTGCCTTCCAGCCCGACCCGCGCACGATTTGAGAGAAGCTGCTTCCTGTCCTCCCGGAGGGGGAATCAGGATTGGGTGTTTGAAGATGTTTTCCTTGCCTGTTGATTTTGATGGGTTAATTCTCTCGACGTTGGCTGTTTTCAACCTTGCAGTGTCCTGTGTTCTAGAATGTAAGGTTTTGGTGATGTCCCCTACAGTAAATTCGCGATAGTGGGTGTCCTATCTGTCTGGTCACGTTAATGCACAACTGTACATTACTTGCAAGATTTGGGGATAGGATGACACTGAAGAGATAACATTTCCCATGCAACTGACGAGTACAGAAACTGATTTAGAGTGAGGGTCTTGTTCAGGCTGGTGGCTGGCTGGGCCATAAGCTGAGGGTCCCCTTCCAAGACACGTCTCAGTGGGCCGGAGTCCCCGGTGATATGTGCTGCTCAGCCCCTCAGTATGTTTTTCTACGTGGTACACAGTGGGCCTACCTGGGTATCTCTGTGTGTTTCTTAATTGTGCTCAGTGTTTGCTTATGAGTTAGACATTTGTTTAGTATCTGTACATGATTTCACGGAGTGCAAAGGGATCTTAATTCTCCTTTGACCCTTTAACAAGAAGTGGCTGGGGTGGGGTAAGGGTGAATTCTATGATTGTTTGTGCTGGTGCCGGACAGCCTGGTGAGGTGTCTGATGTCTTGCCAGTTCCTGCTACATTTGCATTGGCTGCTGTAGAGGCAGCAGGACACGGCGCCTGTGTGTGATGCTGGATGTTGCTTTGGGGAATCTGCCCCATAAAAAGTGTTTTCCTTAGGGTAGTATGAGCTTCTGTAAATTACTGGGAAACTTTCAGATCCTGCTCTATTTAATTACTGCCCTCTTCTTCCTCTGATCCTATGTGTGTATAGGGGGGAGTTCATTACACAACACTGGACTGAACAAGACACAAACCCGTGTTGGTTCTTCAGGTGGTTTGGGGGCATCGGGCAGAACAACGTTTTCAGGCATTTAATACTATCTCAGTTGCTGATAAGCCGGAGTACTTGCTGAGTAAGACACAATTGTGAAAAACAGGCAATGAAACTCATACTGATTATCTCTTTGGGATGTTATCTGTAGTTCAGGGGTCAGAGCAAAGTTTAATAACAAATTATTGAAATATTTAAAAAGTAAAATCTTTACCTGAGAGGGCTTTTTTGTTTGTTTTCATTTATCATTCATTTTAGGGCACTGTTTGCTTTCATTATATATTAGGGAGCAACTGTTTAATATCCAAACTACTTCAGAAGCTGAAAGGTTATTTTTCACTTCTTAGTTTCATTCTTTAAAAAAAAAAACCTCAAATTCCCTAAAAATATTTGGGTATGAAGTTTGTGTCATAACACTTACTAGATTAACATAAGGAAAATCAAAAAGGAGGGTGACTCTTCTAATTTAATGTGGGTAGTACAGTCTTTTTTTAAAAAAATTAATCTATTGAAAACATAGAGAACAGACATATCCCATTTTCTGGCTCTTTCCTCAAATACCGACAGCAGCAAGGCTGGTATAGGCTGGAGCCAGGAGCAGGGACTCAATCTGACTCCCCCACGTGGGTGGCAGGACCGCAGGACTCAGGCCATTGCCTGCTGCCTGCGGAATATGCCTTAGCAGGAGGCTGGGACTGGGAGCAGAGCCAGCCTGTGACGCCAGCTGTGGGCCTCCTGGGCAGCATCTGAACCACCTTGCAAGTGCTGGCCACACAGACTTTGTTTTTCTGCTTAAACACTTTCAACCACAGTGTATTTGCTTTCCCAGTATGTGGAGAGGGTTGTGAAGGCTGTGACAAGAAATGACACCACCTTGTAATAGTGTCTTGAGTAAGTAAGTAACAGTGTGTATGCAAACACATGCAGGAAGGAAACTTTTTTGACTATTATTGTTCTGGTCTGCATTCCCACATCAGGTACTGGAAGCAAACAAAAAAAGCGTTGACTGAAGGAGATAAACATCATGTCATCCCATGGTTAGAATAGAATGAGAGTTACATTTGGGGCCTTGAAGAAAATGTACAAAAATATGAAAACTTTTTTTTCATACTCTCCTCACCTCCTAGCTTTTGTACTCCCATTATTGAAATAGACTTGAACTGGCAAGCCTAAAGCTGTGGAGGGTGTGAAGTGCACAGGAGTGAATGTGATCCGCAGTTAGCAGAGCAGCCTGTACAGGCTCTCAGGCCCAGAGACATAGACCAGCACGGACTCCATGGGGCTGAGTGTCTACACTGGCGTCCAGGCCCAGCTGTCCATGTGAAGCTGTCCATGTCTTCTGAAGTTCCTGGGAATGCATGTGGCTTTGGAAGAGCAGTCAATCGGAGTGGCCTTCTATTTGTACTGCTCAGACCACACCATCCTCATATCTTGCCTTGTTTCCTTTCCAAGTTCAAGGGGACTCGGAGGGTTGCTAGTTAGGGCATGACGGAATTCTGAGGTGCTAAGTCAGGGATGAGCAAGAGGATGGGAAAAGTCAGCTTTACTTAATTCATTGAGACAGGTTTATTTTCCAGCGTATCAGACAAAATATAAAGGAAATACAAAAAGCTTCTTAATGTTACAACTTCCTCTTCAGCAATCTGTATTTCCATAGATGATATTTGTGAAAGAAAATTACTGATGCAAAGACAATCTATGTTTCTGAGGCTCTTCCACTTATGAGCAAAATATCCTTTAAAGCCCTGCCTGTAACAACAAAATATTTTAAAAAATCATTTTAGTGGTGGTTAATCATTGACATTTGGGTAATAGTTATAGTTTATCTTACAAATGATGAGATGCAATACAGTTTTTCAAAAGAATAAATGTTAGTGTGTATTGATTGATTCTTTTGCTGGCAGGGGGAAAGCCGGGCTGATGCCATGGCATATCAGATGAAGCCTCCTTGTGCAGCCCCAGCATCCCTGTGGGTGCTAGTTTGAGTCCCAACTGCTCCACTTCCAGTCTGGTTCCCTGCTTGTGACTTGGGAAGCCAGTGGAGGATGGCCCGAGTGCTTGGGTCCCTGCACCCATGTGGGAGACCTGGAGGAAGCTCCTGGCTCCTGGCTTTGGACCAACCTGGCGTTGGCTGCTGCAGCTATTTGAAGAGTGAACCAGAGAATGGAAGATATTAATTCTCATTCTTTCTTTCTCTCTCTCTGTCTCTCTCTCTGTGTCTCTCTGTGTGTGAGAGATTCTGCCTTTCTGATAAAAATAAATGAATTTTTTAAATCGTGGAGCCAGCTCTATGGTTTAGTATGTTAAGCTGCCACCTGTGACACTGGCATCCCAAATGAGTGCAAGTTCAAGTCCTGTCAGCTGCATTCCGATCCAGTTCCCTGTTAATGCACCAGGGAAAGCAGTGGACAGTATCCCTGCTACTTGGACCCCTGTCACCCTCCTGGGAGATGGGGTCTGTTGCAGCCATTTGGCACATAAACCAGCAGATAGGAGATTCATTATTTCTCTCTCTCTGTCCCCCACCCCACTTATTGATTGATTGATTGATTTGAAAGAATGCCAGAAGGAGAGGCAGAAATTCCCTTTCTCCTGGCCACCGTCCCCTGGGGCTGGGCCAGGCCGAAGCCAGGAGCCTTGAACTCCAGCTGGACCCTCTGCTTTCACAGGCACATTAATAGGAGTTAGAAGATCAGAAATGAAGCGACTGGGACTCTTAAACAGAACTCTGATAGGAGAAGCCGGGGTCACATGTGGTAGCTTAGCTCACAGTGCCAGCCCCAGAATGAGTGTTTAAGAGACAGAGACTAAAATCAGAATAGCTGACATATGTATAGCAGTGCTTCTCCACATACTAGAGGACTTCCTTATTTTCGTGTGTGCTTTATTCATCTAATTCTCCTGACAACTCAGTGAGGTAGGCACAATTATTATCCCTATTTTGCAGACAAGTAAACTGAGACACAGAGACCAGTCTATGCAAATACAAATAATCTGCCCAAAGAGCGGATGTTTTCCATCATACTACATGGTGCCGGAGGCCCTAACGGAGATGGCTTCTAACAAGCTATTCTCCTTGATAAAACGTTACACATTCATTCACAGTATTCAGAAATATATTAGATTGTAATTGCTTACATAGTTTTGATGTCAAAAAATAGATTCTAGATATTGGTTTTGGAAGTTCTTCAAAAAAAGTAAGGACCAGAAAGCCTAGCAATGGTACAATCTTTGTTTGATCATGTGAGTGATAATTATATTTTTAGAAAAGGCTGGCTTCCATAAAGACCCATCCAGAGCGCCTGGCTCTTTGTTTCTGCTTCTCCCAGAGTAGCTCTGGATTCTTGTTTGGTTTATTGTTTATTTTATACTTCTGTACAGGAAGGACTGGTTGTATGGGGTTAAAAATAGATGGAGAGGTGGGTGTGAGGTGCAGCCGTTGGGATCCCCCACAGGAGCAGCTGCTCTGCTGTTCACCCAGCGTCCTGCTCATGCGCATCCTAGGAGGAAGCAGGTGTAGGTCCCTGCCTTATTGGAAGGCCCAGATGGAGTTCTGGGCTCTGGCTTTGGCCTTGCCCAGCCCTGGATTTTGTGGGCATTTGGGTAGGTGTAGGAGGGGGCAATAGATAAAAGATCTCTCCATCTGTCTCTGTGTCTCTCTTTGCTTTTCAATAAGTGAAAATTTAGAAATTTTAAAAGCACCTAAGACCTGGAAACAGTGGTGGTACAAAACGTCTATCATATACTGTATTCTCCCACTCACCTCTCCGCCCCTTACTGAGCTCTGCATCGAGAGAGAGTTTCAGCATACCACACACTCCAGGCACACTGAATTAAGTTGTCTTCAGGGGCAGGGTTGTGCTGCTATGGGTGAGGCTGCTGCTCATGACACTGGCATCCCAGAGCAGAGCACCGGTTTAGGACCCAGCTGCTCCACTTAGAATCCAGCTCCCTAGTAGCATGTCTGGGAAAGCTGTTGAAGATGGCCCAAATGCTTGAGTCCTTGTCACCCATGTAGGAGACCCAGATGGAGTTCCAGGCTCCTGGCTTCTACCTGGAAAAGCCATGGCTGTTGTGGACATTGGGGAAGTGAACCCGTGGACCAACAATTATCTACTTTCTGTCAGTCTGCCTTTCAAGGAAATAAATAAAAAACATTTTAGGGAGTTGGGCTTTATGGCTCATTGAGTTAGAAGACCACCAGCCTGCAACACAGAGCATCCCTACTAATGGTCTGGGGAAAGCAGCGAATGATGGCCCAAGTCCTTGGGTCCCTACCACTCACCTTGGAGACCTGGAAAAAGCTGTGGGCTCCTGGACCGGCTTTGGTAGCCTAATGGCTAAAAATTCTGCATGCACCAGAATTCCATATGGGTGTCGGTTTATGTCCTGGCAGCTCCACTTCCTCTGATCCAGCTCCCTGCTTATGGCCTGGGGAAGCAGTTGAGGGCAGCCCAAAGCCTTGGGTTCCTGCATCCGTGTGGGAGACCCACATGAAGCCACTGGCTTTGGATTGGCTCAGCTCCAGCCATTGCAGCTACTTGGGGAGTGAACCAGCAGACAAGAAAATCTCTTGGTCTCTCCTTCTCTATAAATCTGAATTTCCAATAACAATAAGTAAATCTTCTAAGAAATAAAAAAAGAGCTGCGGGCTCCTGGCTTTAGGCTTCCTAGCCCCAGCTGCTGCAGCCATCTGGGGAGCAAGACAGCAGCTGTTGGAAACGCTCCTTCTCATTGTGTAACTATGACTTTACAATAAGGACATTTTTTTAAATAAAGTCCTCTTGGTTTTTTTTTTTTTAAGATTTATTTGTTTTTATTGGAAAGGAAGCTATACAGAGAGGAGGAGAGACAGAGAGGAAGATCTTCTGTCCACTGGTTCACTTCCCAAAAGGCTGCAGCAGCTGGAGCTGAGCCAGTCTGAAGCCAGGAGCTCTTCTGGGTCTCTCACATGGGTGCAGGATCCCAAGGCTTTGGGCCATCCTGGACTGCCTTCCCAGGCCACAAGCAGGGAGCTGGATGAGAAATGGAGCTGCCGGGATCAGAACTGGTGCCCATATGGGATTCTGGCGCATTCAAGGCGAGAACTTTAGCCACTAGGCCACCACGCCAGGCCCGAGCTGTATTTCTTAATCCACTCTGAATTCTCTCCAGTCTGTATCCATGTTTGCGTGTATGTGGAATGAGGCCATGAAGATGTCATTTAGTTGTGTTGTTTGGCAGCAGAGCCCTAAGGAATGGGTGGTGATTGGGAGACTCACAGCCATTGGTGCTGCCTTAAGTAGAGAAAGGGATGACTTTTTATAACAGTGCCACCAGTGCAGCCTTGCCAAGTAGGGGCTAGTGTGTTACTGAGCACCTTGTTTGTTCTGTTTGGCGCCTCCTGTTAACTGTACTGAGTGCTCCCGACGGCAGCCTTGGCAGGGTGGGTCATGCTTTGTGTTAGCAAGCTCAGAAGGTCACACAGAGAGATAGCGAGTGGTTCCAGCCAGGGCTGCCTGAGCACTTTCCCAGCCTGGGAGAAGAGTGGTGAGTTGACACATTTGGAGTCATTTTAGGATGTGAACTGGCTCTGATGAAGTTCTTGATTCTCTAATGGAACTCTGCTTCTGCAGGGAGTTTAGGGGAATGATCCTGCCAATGTGCTTGGTTACAAACCTAAAGGGAATATATGAAAAATATACTACCATCTCTTTGTGAGTTGTATGTGTGTGAAGTTAATTTTGAGGGTGCTGTTAAAGTTCTTACTGAAACTAAGGCTCGAGCAGGTGCTTGGCTGTCGTGCCTGCATCCCATTACCCGTGTACCTGAGCTAGTGTCTTCACTCTAGTCTTTCACCCCAGCTCCTGGCTGATGCAAGCCCTGCCAAGGAGAGGCCGTGGCGCAGGTGGCTGAGTCCTTGCCACTCACGTGCGAGACCAGGATTGAATTCCTGGCTGCTGGCGTCTGGCTTCTGTCTGACTCAGCCTGCGTCCAGGTGGGGCAGGCATTCAAGGCTGAACCAGCAGCAGATGGGAGATTATTTTTTTCTGACTCGCAAGTAATAATTTAAAAAAGCTTTTTTAAATAAATTAAGCACATTGTTGTATTCAGCAAACTCATTGGGCCAGTGTTTATTTTCAGCATCTGTGCACATTACTGGAGCCACACCCCCTTTTCCTGTGGCCCCGCCTCCTTTGCCTGGTCACCCAAGAACACTTGTGGCTCAGTCTGTGCTGCAGTACAGCCAACTCACCTGCAGACCAACAAGGCTTAATGAAAACTCTAAAAAAGTAGGAACTCGTGGGAGAGAAAAAAGTAAAGACAAGTTTGCAAGGTATGATGAGTGGGTAGAGGGGGAAGAGTGAAGTCTGAAGGAATGGAAAGATTTAGTTTGCGGGCTAAAACTAAAGCTTTTCCTAGGATTTTTAACATTATCACCCAATTTGAAGAACTAGCTTTGTTAATTTTATGCTGCAGATGCTTGTGTAAACAATTTGGAGTTTCTGTGATTGTATTTAGGTTCCTTTTTTGGAGCTCCTATTTGTGTTGATTAGGATACAGTTGTTAAACCTATTCAGATGAACTTTTTTGTTGTTATTTTTTTTTTAAGATTTATTTTTATTAGAAAACATATACAGAAAGGAAGAAAGATAGATCTTCCATTCGCTGCTTCACTCCTTAAGTATCCTCAGTGGCCAGAGCTGAGCCGATCCAAAGCCAGGAGGCAGGAGCCTCTTCCACGTCTCCCACACAGGTGCAGGGTCAAGGCTTTGGGCCATCCTCAGCTGCTTTCCCAGACCACAGACAGGGAGCTGGCTGGGAAGTGGGGCTGCCAGGATTAGAACTGGTGCCCATCTGGAATCCTGTCACGTGCAAGGGGAGGACTTTAGCCGCTGAGTTACCACACGTGCCCCTTTTTTTTTGTTGTTTTTAAATTGTGTTGATTTTGTGGAGTAGATGCAGCTATGGAATGTGTATGTGTGAAAAACTGTAGCATTAAAGGTAGCTAGCTTGTCTAATAATATAAGCTATTTTGTTTTTTAAGCAACCTCAAAATGTTCAGTAAGGTGTTGACTGTGTATAAACTGAACTTTAACCAGAGAGAAAATTGGCTGGAAAATTGACTTGATAGTTTTAGACTTCCTGTTTCTTCTAAATTGGTTGGCTGTATGAATTACTTCAGGAATAAAACAGATTTTAGACTTTGTTGCTTCTTGTTTATTTCCTTCAGAGTACTTGTGCATTCAGCTGGTGGGAGTTGGTTGGAGAATTTTTATCTGACTTTGCCATATTCACATCTGGGTGCACATGAAAGATTGCAGTTCTGCTGCGGTTCACTTGTTATCTGACTTGCCCCACAGGTTCCTGGGTGGAGCTACCAATGAACAGCAGCAATGGCAATGATAATGGCAATGGAAAGAATGGGGGCCTGGAGCACGTGCCTTCCTCATCCTCCATCCACAATGGAGACATGGAGAAGATCCTGTTGGATGCACAGCATGAGTCAGGGCAGAGCAGCTCCCGGGGCAGCTCCCACTGTGACAGGTGAGTGAGGCCGCAGCACCAGAGAGGTCCAGAACTCCAACTGCCCTGAGAGGAGATTCAGGCTTGAGCCCTCACTGCACGAAGTACATCTCCTGACTGATGGTAGCGAGTGTACTGAAACCAGGCAGCTGGTTGGTAGAAACGTTAGGGCCCATCTTGTCTCCTGGGTTAAGTAATTTTTTTCATCCAGATCATAAAATTTTGGGATATTCTTCAGTTTGAAGTCAGTGTCTGGCTGTTCAGTTGCAGAACTGGTATGTCTCCTGTGCTCCTGTCCAGTCTACGCTATGCCTTGACATGCAGCAGCCTCTGGGTCTTTCTGTATGCCTGCTAGACCATGAGGCTTCAGAAGGCAGGGCTCAGGCGTCCTCTCTCTCTGCCTTCCATGGCAGCGCTGGCAGGAGGTAGATGCTCAGTGAATTCGACTCCTAGGAACTGCACCTTGATTCAGTTCATAGCAGTGTGTGCATGCCAGCCACGGTCCAGGCATGTGGTTCGTTTGCAAGACCATTGTGTTTCTTCAGATTAAGTTTTATTTTTGGCCTCATTTTTCTGTATTGATGTAAGGGGGAAAACTAACTCCACTGTGTATGGTGAACGAGTAAGGGTATAGACAGATGTAAACGTGGCATGAAGTCAGTTTTTCTCAGTATAAGCTTTTCTTTCTTCCAGAGGGGCTAGGCATTACATGACAGTGAAAAATTCTTAGTGTCCTGGTACTGTGCTGTTAGCATCGTGCAGTTCTAGATGACCGTCTGGCTAACCTAACAGTTAACTGACCCCTGACCCTGTGAAGAACACAGACACAGGAAGATCACAAAAGAAGTACTTAAGCATTAAGCATTTAAGCAGTGATTAACTTCAGGGAATAGAGTTATAAATGTTTTTCTTTTCAGCATTCAATAAAAATTGTATAGATGGCATATATTATTACTTTTCAGAAGAAAAGGTTTAACAGAACAAACCAGAGTTGAGTCTTGCTTAGACTTTCTGCATGGCTGTAGTCCACAAATCCCACCAAGGCAGCATGGGATGGGCTTAGTGGCCACGGCCCCCTGCACCCCGCCACCCAGTGCTGCCTGTGGCTTCTGCCTGTGCCACCTGCAGCTGGGTGGCCCTCTTCATAAGCAGGACCAGAGCAGATTGCCCCTTTCCAAGCAGCTTGCTGGTGGTTGCAGAGACTGAGTACCAGTGTGTCTTCAGAATGATGATTTAGTTTACTTTTTTTTTTTTAAATGAAATTTGCCCGAGAGGTTGTTTTGGGTTTTCTGAAGTTCCCTGCTTGCCATGACCTGTTTATAAAGGCTTCTGCTACACACTGAGGTGCTCAAGCCTGGCCACTGGTCAGTTTGTCCACTAACCTGTGCCCATGTCACTGCGCTACACTGAACAGAAGGGAGGGAGGGAGGGGGAGAGAGAGAGAGAGTGTGTGTGTGTGTGTGTGTGTTTGTGTTTGTGTTGCCTGAGTACCCTACTGGTCAACCTGTTTTATTCATGGTCACAGCTGGACAAGTGATTCATGAATTCACTTTCTCAGGGACAAGTTAAAAGTTTAGGTTTGTAAATGTGTGAGAAGAGGCCTGGCAGCTGAATACGTTCAGCTGAATGTGTTTGGGCTCTAGTTTACCAGTGAGCATTCAGAGGTGGCCTAGGACTCTAGCCCAGCAGTCTCCTCTGGGGACATATGGCTAACACACTTCACCCTTTAGAATTGGTCTCAGAATGTATGCACTTTGAATTGCTCTGTGCTGTAGTCTAAAGCCGCTGGAGAGTATAGTACTTCTTGTAGGTGGAAAATTTTGAGAATTGTTGAGTATGAGCCCCACAGCTGACTTTGAGTATATTTTCACTCTACAAATGATTGTACAGATCTGTTGGTCATTAGACAATAGTCCCTGTATGTTTGCTTCGTGTTCACCCTGTCATAGGGGTTCTCACATGAGATTCGTCCAAGAAGTTTCTGATGCACCAGTGTGCGTCCCTAGAGTGTCTCCTTGGGTTGCCAGAAGCAGGCACAGACATCAGACTGTCTTCAGAGCTTTCCTGCTGGTAGGAACCAGGGTTGACACCCTAATGCACTCCAGAGGAGCGAGCAACTGACAGGTGTCAGTACTGGTGGCGAAGATGAGGCTAGCAGTGAAGTAGTGCCTCTGTAGGGTTCTCAGCTGTGGCGCCCTGATGGCTTTGAGCTGGCCACAGCTGTGGAGGGCTGGCCCCTCATGTGATGTGCTTTGCTAGGAGCCTGGCGGTAGGATGAGCCCCATGACCATCCATTGAGAACAACAAGAATGCCTGGTTCTTGTTGGTCCTTGACTATACCTGGCAATCCTCGTTCAAGAGGAGATTTTTTTTCTGAATGCGTGCAATATGCTTAATACAGAAGCAGTGTCTCATTTAAGAAGCTCCTCTGTGGGTCCCATCAGCCAGCAACTCACAGACCCAAACAGGCTGATGGATTTCTGGTGATCTCACTCCTGAGTTCATCTCTGTGTGTTAGCCTTGCAATTGTACACCCATGCTACTGGTAGCTTTCATAGTTGATATCCATTCCTTTGAGCCAGGTAAGCCTCTTATGTTTTTCATCCATATTTTTGAGATTGGAAGAGCAGGATTTCTTTGTGTGGCGAAGGACTCAGTGACTTGCTGAGGTTCCACAAGAAATCCCTGATAAAACACTGAAAAGTGAACGTAGCACATGGTAGCCATCATCGTGTCAAGTACTGTTTGTGAGGTAGTGTTTTTATTTAGAAACTTAGCTGTGCATATTTATAGTTCTGGGAATATATTGTGTAGTATCAGGATGATAAGTGGTTTACTCCAAAATCACTGAAAACAAGTTTTGCTTTAAAAATTAATTATAAATATATATTTACGTATTTATATTTATTCCATTGTGTTTGAAAAGCAGGGAAAAACTTGTATTTACCAGTTTACTCCCGAAATGCCCCCCACAGCTGAGGTTAGACCACAGCAAAGCCAGGATCCCAGAGCGCTATGTAGGTCTCCCATGTGGTGCTAGAGTCATCGTTTGCTGCTCACCTCTTAGCATCATTTGCTGCATTTCTTTAGGAAAATGACTTGGATGGGGAGTGACTGGACTCCAACCCAGGCCTTCTGAGATGGGATACAGGCACCTAAGCGGTGACATAAGCCACTGTGTTAAATCTCTTCCCCCATAAAGTGAGTGTATTTTTCTAATAAGTGCAGTAATAGCTCTCAACCTTTATGTTCTTAGTAACCCTTTACATGGTTAAAAATTGTTAGGGACTCCAAAGATCTTTTTGTGAGTTAAATATTTTGACAAGGAACTATCACTAGACGATTATTACATTGTTTTTATTTTTATTTACTCATTTGATTTTTGTTACTTGGCAGATTGGGGGTGAGGTGGAGGACATCTGCCGATTGCTTCAGTCCACAAACGCCTTCAGGGCCTCAGTCCAGATCTCCATGGTGACGGCAGGAACCTGGTTACTTGGGCTGTCCACACTGCCTCAAGGGCCTGCATCAGTAGGAGGCTGGAGTTTGATCCAGGTGTGGGTGTTGGCCCCAGGTGATGATGTGGAGGAGGCAGGTGCTTAAACCATCATCATAACTGCTGGGCCGGATGCCTGCCTGTAAATACCTTCTCAAAATGAGAAATAACTATTTCCTATAACCAAAAAGCTAGAACAGGGACACTGTATTACAGTTTTGCAAATCTTTAATATTTGCCTTAATAGAAAACAGCTGGATGCTCATCTGTTTTTACATAAGATGTGATGGAATATCATGTATCTTAAAGCATTTGGGACATTCTCGTACACTCAGTAGAGAAATAGTGAAAAAGGCAGAGAAATCCTAGTGTGGCGAGAGCAGCTTGACTTTTTTTTTTTTTAAGATTTTTTTTTTAATTGGAAAGTCAGATATACAGAGGAGGAGACAGAGAGGAAGATCTTCTGTCTGATTTTTCACTCCCCAAGCGGCTGCAGCACCAGAGCTGAGCCAGTGTGAAGCCAGGAGCTTCTTCCAGGTCTCCCATATGGGTGCAGGGTCCCAATGCTTTGGGCCGTCCTCGACTGCTTTCCCAGACCACAAGCAGGGAGGTGGATGGGAAGAGGAGCTGCCATATGGGATTAGAACCGGTGCCCATATGGGATCCCGGGTGTGCAAGAGGAGGACTTTAACCACTACGTCACTGTGCTGGGCCCAGAGAGCAGCTTCACTCTTAAAGACACTCTGAAGAAGGGCTTGAGGACTGCTGGTGATGGAAGAAAGAGTATGAGGCAGAAGGAGGGGAGTAAGCTCCCATCTACTGGCAAAAAGAACCCCCAAGTAGATTTCTAAATTTGAATATCATTTTACCTTTAATTGGAAAAAGAAGGAAAGAAAATGTGACAGTTCAGTCTTTAAGCACTCCTTGCATTTCCTGTGCAGATTTATGATTGTGAATGAATTCACCACCAGAAAGGCCCAAAACCCAAGGGATTGAATGCTCTGTCTCGCCTAGCACTTCAGCTGCCTCCCAAACCTTTCTTGTGAGGGAGTGTAATGTTCCTGATTGGTTACTTTGTCAGAGCCATCCTAATACTTTCAGATTTGCCTTTCCAATAGAGGCTAACTGATTAAATAATGAAGATTAAAATGAATGTTCCAATTCTTTATCTTTCAGCCCTTCCCCACAAGAAGATGGGCAGATCATGTTTGATGTGGAGATGCACACGAGCAGGGACCACAGCTCTCAGGTACGTGGGCGTGGTTCTGATTTACAGCCAGTAATTAGGAAAGACAGTTTAAGTGTGTTTTACTACAGTATGTTAAAGAGTAAGAGGACTCTTTAGGATAGTGTAAACTTGTTTTAAGTTATTCAAGTTCATATTATTTAATATGTGATCCTTCATTCAATCCTTACAACTTAGGATTTGTGCCCTTTTCCTTAGAAGAATTGGAAAAATTTTGCTTAGAATATGTCATTCCAGTATTCCAGGCTAATTTCTTGAATTTCTAAGTGGAAAACTGAGACTGATATCTCATTTCAGGTTGTAAAATTGATGAAAATGAAGGCTGTGCTAAGACTCAGTGTGAAAATTTCTGTGTCTGATCTCAAATCAAAGCAGTGAATTTTGAGACGAATTTCAGCAGCTTCAGATAAAACCTTAACAAAATTATGCAGGCCTCTGTAAACTAGAGAAGATAAATACAGTTTATTAGGAGTTGACACTGTTGAATTTTTAAATGACGATAGTACTAGTATCTTACAGAGGCTTGCAGTGTAAAATTTGAAATATAAGTATGTGACTGTTGCTGATGGTTTAGAATATAACCCTGAGCTTAATGAATGGGTCAGATCTCCTGAAAGTGTCTTTAAGACTACAAATGCTTGAGACCAGGAGCCATTATTTTTCTCCTATGATAGAGTGCTTGGAAAGAATGAATGAATGTTTTAAAGAGTTAGAAAAGAAATATGTGTTGTGGGCTCTTTACTGTACAATGAGCTGTGTTCCTTTACACTAGAAATGTTTGGCATAGTGTCTTGAATCCAGCCAGTAGTTTTTCTTTTTTCAAATTATTTATTTATTTTTAAAATGTAGTTGCTTGTTTGAAAAAATTATAGGCAGAGAGGGAGAAACATCAAGAGAGAATCCACTGGTTCACTCCCCAGGTGGCTCTCACAACCTAGGCTGGGCCAGGAGCTTCATGTAGGCCTCCTACATGGACAAGGCACCCAGGCGCTTGGACTGTCCTCTGCTGCTGTTACCCACGTGCTTTAGCAGGGAGCTGGATCAGACTTGGAGCAGCAGGGATTAGAACCGCTGCTCACATGGGATGCCAGCACTGCAGGTAGTGGCTTAAACACATAGTACAACACTGGCTACTGACTATACCGAATGTTGTTCTTTGAAACCTAGAAAATCTGTGGCTGGAGTGCACTTTTATTTTGTGATGAACTTCAAACTGTATAGAGGCTTTCAGCACAAGGTACTCCTTTGGGTGGTTTGATTAGAACTGTTAAGTTGCTCACATGTGTCAGGCTAAGAGCCAGAGCCAGGAGGGAGAAAGGACCAGCAGTTCCCAGGGACAGAAGGTGTCCCGTGGGGTTCAGGAGAGGAAAGAGAGGGCTGCTTTGCTGCAGGGTGTCCTGAGGATGATGATCTTCATCCAGACCCCTTCTGTACAGATGCAGTAGGAGTCTAGATTGTTACTCTCCAGAATGTGTTCAGAGGGAAGTTTGTTTCAGAGGAAATCCTGTTAGGAGAAATCCAAAGTCAAGCACATGGAAAACAGCCTCGTCCCTGTGTGGCCCCACCCTCTGACGCAGTAGTCACATGGGGTAGATACCCTCGCTGTTAATGCAAGTCAGGATAGTGGCTTAATTAAATCAGATGTTTCCCAGGTTTATTTGACCTTAGGACCTTAGCCTGCACTCCCTTTCTCTTCCCCACTCCCAACCATGTGCCTTCTTTCCTGATATGTTGTGGGACACCTGGATAAAGGGCAGTCCAGTTCATGGCCTGGCAGGTGTCTGGTTAGGCCGAGTGATTGCATCCACTTTAAAGTTCCACAGGAATTTGGGAAACTGAGGAGAGGAAATGAAGGCTTTTGGCTTCCATGCCAGATCCATGCAGAAGTAAGTGTGAAGACAAGCTGGTCGTTCCCAGGCAGGGAGTGAGCCCTGTTGATGACCAAGTCAGCCACACTCGGCAAAGGGCAGTTTTGGGGAAAGTAGTGTATCCCCTGTAAGAAAACAAGTTTGTTGTGTCAGACATTTTATACTGGAGTTATCGTTTACTTTAATGTTAAAAAGCCCTTTCTACTGCTTTTTTTAATTGAAGAAATTATTTTAAAACTGATTCCATTAGGATTTGGGGAAATGGACTTTTTTTTTTCCATGAAAAAAAAAAAGTTTAGAGCAGCTGGTGCAGTGGATCAACTGGCTGATCTACTTCCAAGTGCCAGCATCCTATATGGCACTGGTTCGTGTCCCAGCTGTTCCACTTCCCATTCAGCTGCCTGCTTGTAGCCTAGGAAACCAGCAGAGGATGACCCAAAGCCTTGGGACTCTGCACCCATGTGGGAGACTAAGAAGAGACTAAGCTTTGAACCAGCTCAGTTATACCTGTAGTGGTTGTCTGGGGAGTGAACCAGCAGATGTAAATCTGCTTTTGTAATTAAAATAAATCTGTAAAAATAGAAAAAAGTTTAGAGTGAGGAAACTGCTAAAAGCAATGAAGGGTTGTTGCTTTTTTTTTTTTTCCAAGACATTTGTTTGAAAGGAACAGTGACAGAGGGTGGGTGGCAGGAGCCCAGGACTTAAGGCTATTATCTGCCTCCTTCCCAAGTGTGTTAAGTGGAGTCAGAGGTGGAGAAGCAACTGGGACTTGACCTGGCGCTCTGAAATAGCCAGCACTGCAAGTGGCAGCCTAGCCTGCAGCTTCACAGCAGCTGCCCCAGAGCCTGCTACTGTACTTGTCCTGTTAGAAGTTTTCCTATGTGTGAAATAGATGGCATTTTCAGGCTTTTCTATGAGGAGGTAGCAATGACACTAATACTTCCCAGATAACGTTCTCAGTGCTAAATTTACTAGGTGCTAAATTTATTTTAAAAGCTGCTTCTCACTTTTAATATCCTCAACCCAGCAAAAGAGATGATATTCTCCACCATGAAAAATGGGAAGAGCGAGCCTTTGCCCTAATTACGTTACTTACGTACGAGCACAGAGCAGAGTTAGAGGCAGGGTCCTCTGCATCCATGACCCTGTTTGCCACTAGACTAGACTGCAGAAGGACACTGAGAGCAGACTCGTGAGAAGGGGCTGGCAAAGTGCCATAGGGTGGCACTAGGTGTTGCGTCTGGGCCTTGCTGTGGGGCAGTAGTCCTTGCAAGGCTGGGTTTTGTAGCAGAAAGTGAGCCGGAGCTTGGCCCTGCCCTGTGGAAGGCCAGACAGGCCCACCTGATGTGCAGTGTCCTGGAAGCATGATGTCCCCTTCTTTCCTCTGGTAGGAAACAGGATTTGCATGTCGTTGGAGCTGAACACTCACCTTTAGACACCCCAGAAAGGCGTGCAGAGGGCCAAAGAGAAACAACATGGGTGATCAGAAGATGAGGGCCTTCTGCAAGAGACCAGGCTGGGCTGATCAGAGTCTCATTTAGTAGTTTTGGTGCAGAGGTAGAATTACTGGTTTAGTTCAGATTAGAGGGTAAGAATGTTTGACATATTCTGTGATTCCCAGAACTGGAAGGCAATTTAAAAGCTGAATGCAGATTTGTGATCAGTAAAAGAGAAGCACAGAGCAGTAGCAAATAGGGAGCATGGATAGCACTTACTTTAAAGTGAGCATTAAAATAAGGGTAGAAATTTACCTGGCATTTTCTGCAGTAAATACAAATCTAAAACTTACTTTGCTTTGCTCACCATAGAGAAAAGAATGTATCATCTAGGAAAAAAAATGTTTTAAGAGCATAAAATCTTACCTTATTTTCATTCTCTTGGAAAATATGCCATATGAACTTGTTTAAGGACCCAGTTCTTCGTCTGATCAGCTGTAGACATCTGCAGGCTGGTGGGGGACCCTGGGAATGGACAGGACCTGCAGTGGGCTGGCAGCACAGGCGGACCCTCTGTGGGCCCAGCCTGACTCGTCAGTCAGCAGTGCCTCGGCAGGGTGGGTGGCTTAGGATGAGTTGTCACTTCATAGAACCAGCTCACGATCCTGCATAATCTCAGTGACCAAAGGGTAAAGCCCCATTCTAAAGGCCGCATTATGTTGCTGTGTGAAATTTGCCACGTTCAGCAGAACTAAATAGGAATGGGTACTAGCCGGAGTCACAAACGTCCGCAGGGGTTTCTCCTTAGGATTTGGTGGTGAACGTGACTGAGTATACATGACCAAGTATACAGACAGACTCCCGCTTCCTTCCAGAGCAGAATGGACCTGTGGAAAAAGTACTGTGTGGCCTTGTCAGGCTCTGCATTTCTTAGCCACTTACAGAAAAGGATGAAAGCTTTGGGCACAAACGAAATCCTGTTCCAAAGAAATTTAAAAATCAAACACTTACTAACTTTAGCTTTGAGAGGCCTTTAGTGTGGGGCCGTAGCATCACAATGCTCACAGTTGAATAAATAATACCGAGGACCTGCCGGTAAGCGGCACTCGAATTAAAAACTCATCAAGTTCAGATTACATCTAACTACAGTGAAGCTCACTTGACATTCTTTTAAGATTTACTTGAGAGACAAAGAGATGGAGACAAGCCAGAAGTTGAACCAGTGCCTGTATGGGATGCCAACATCACAGGTGGCAGCCTAACGCACTATGCTACAGTGTTGGCCGGATGCCTTGAGTTCTTTTACAGATAGTGAGTCTTAGATCATTTTCTCAGTCCTTTAAAAAAGAAAGAAAGGGTAGTTGGAGATCCTTGCTGTAGCCCCTGCAGGTTCTAGCTTCCACTGTTCCACTTCTGACCAAGTTCAGTGCTAATGTGCCTGGGAAAGCAGTGGAAGATGCTTGGACCCCTGCGCCCATGCAGGAGACGCAGGAGGGGCTCCTGGCTTCAGCCTGGCCCGGCCCCAACCATGGCAGCTATTTCGGAGAATGAACCAAGCAGATGGAAGATCTCTCTCCCTCTCTCTGCCTTCCTCTCCCTCTTTGTATCTCTTTGAAATCAATAAAATCTTTAAAAACAGAAAGATAGCATATTTACACATACAGCACTGGTGCACAGCTCTAGGAGGTTATTTTTGGTCCATATTTATCTTCGTGTTAGGAGTCAGTCTTCCTTTCTTTTTCTTTTTTTTTTTTTTTTAAGTTGGCTTTCTTCTTTACAGTCAGAAGAAGAAATTGTCGAGGGAGAGAAAGAAGCAGAGGCATTGAAGAAGAGTGCAGACTGGGTATCGGATTGGTCCAGTAGGCCAGAAAACATTCCACCCAAGTGAGTTATTCCGTGGGTTGTCTCGGTGGCTGGGCTGTGGGCTCAGGAACCCCCCCACGGTCCCGGCAGATGCTTTTCTCACAGCAGCCCTGGTTCTCTGCCTCAGGGAGTTCCACTTCCGGCACCCGAAACGTTCCGTGTCCCTGAGCATGAGGAAAAGCGGCGCCATGAAGAAAGGAGGGATCTTCTCGGCGGAGTTCCTGAAGGTGTTCATCCCGTCTCTCTTCCTCTCCCACGTGTTGGCTTTGGGGCTAGGGTAAGTCCTCTTTGTCGCCTCCTCAGGCTTCCCTGTCAGCAGCAAGGAGCGCCTGAAAGCTGTCTGGATTGCTTTGCTTTCTTTGCAACTTGCATAATGACTCAAGTTGGTCTGGGTCACATCTACCCATAACAGGATTTTTAACAATAGGAAATTTTTTTCCCTTGTTTGAAAATAGGGTGTGCATGTGGAATGATTTTTCTTTTGTTGATTTTGTTGTTAGGCATTTCAATCTAGAATAGCTTCCACAGAAAAGTCATTTCAGTCTGTGCATTTGGAGGTTGAGGATTTTTTGGTCCTGGATGGGAAGATGCACCCCATGACAGCAGGCAGACCAATGACTGACAGTGGTAGAGGAGTGTGGGTGCTGTTTTTCCCTATTTGTAGCATTTTCGTTTATTCTAAACTCAGCCCCATACTTGCCAGTAATTCATTAATTTTACAGGCTCATCTTTAAATATTTTTGTTTCTTAGCTTGAATAAATGAGGGTGCTTGTGAGTCATGTTAGGAGTTAAACAGTTTGGTAATTTTATTTTCAGGATCACCCTGTTAACATGCTGGAAGCTTTCCCAGGGCTCTGTGTCTGTCCACGATGGGCCAGAGATGGCTGGCCGTTACCTTTGTGGGGTCCTCAGTGAGTCCCATGCAGAAAAAAAAGACAGACTGTGTGCAGCTTCCCACACCCCTTTAGTGGCTCATGCTGCTTGCTCTGCTCTTGCAAGGCCAAAGGCAGTGACCAGCAGAGTGGGGACTCTGGAGGGAAGGGACCGTGTGGCTGAGCTGTGGACGGTGACATGGGGCGGGCTGGGGAGTTTAATGCATAACCAACGCCCCCAGTCAAGGTGTAGGCTTTTGGCCTTTGGAGTGTTCCCTCACTTCGTAAATCTTCAAACATTTTCTCTGACAGTGTGGCCACTTGTACAGATGAATGTAAAAGAAGCTTTAAAAACTTAGTTGCTTATTTTGCACTGGGGGTAGAGCTAGTTCCTTGTCCCATTAGCTACCCCTCTGCTGCTGTTGCGGGTCCCAGGTACCTGCTTGCCTAGGGAGGTAGTGCCAGGTCCCTCAGCCTGCAGGGGACAGCTGTCCTTAAAGCCCTGGCAGCTTCCCCGTGTGTCTCCTTTACTCATCACCAATAACATTGACATTGGTCTGTACTGTTGCATCTGAACTATCAGTAGAACTCTTGGCCCATTGGAAAGGAACATTTCCAAGGAGCTGAGGACTGAGTTTTACTCTTGGAAGAGGGTCTGTTGTGTCCAGCTTTGCAGTGTCTACTCCCTGCTCCATGCTGTCCAGTCCTGACTTGCTTAGCAAACAAAACCAGGAGAAACCAGTTTGGCTGGGCTGGTGAGCAGGTGTGAGAGTCAGGAATGACTTGGGGGCTGTGGGGCATGGGGCCTTTAGAGCCCTGCCCGACCAGCTGCAAGATGGAGTCTGCAAGATGGAATTCAGCCTATGGACTGACTCCCTGTGCTTCCTTCCAGCATCTATATTGGAAAACGACTGAGCACACCTTCTGCCAGCACCTACTGAGGGGAAGCAAGGCCTTGGACGGACATGCGTGTGACCTGTGAAGTGGTGTATTGTCACAGTAGTTTATTTGAACTTGAGACCATTGTAAGCATGGCCCAAACTACCACCCTATTTTTACATATTCAATTCCAGTAACTCTCAAATCCAGTATTTTATTCCAACTCTGTTGAGGCATTTTACTAACCTTATTCCCTTTTTGGCCTGTAAGACACTTTAGAATTTCCTAACAGAGTTTACTGTTTAGAAATTTGCAAGGGCTTTTTTTCTGTAAATGCCACCAGCAGATTATAATTTTGTCAACAATGCTAGTATTTTCTCCTACTGTTACCAGACCTGGACCTATATCTTACATGTTATGAATTTACTCTTGCAATGCTAACTACCATCTCTTCTCTTAAAAAAACAAAATCAGGTCAGCACACCATATAAAAGCTTTGTGGTTCAGTTTTTCTTTCCTTTTCCTTTCCAAGACAAAGCCAAGCTTCGCTAAGCTTGAATTTATAGTTACAGGAAAAAAAAGAAACAAAAACAAATAAACAAGAAGAGTATCAAGACACACATACACAAAAATACTTGGGCAATAAAAAAAAATATTTTAAACCAGCTTTGGAGCCACTTTTTTTCTAAGCCTCCTAATAGCGCCTTTTAATTTGTAGGAGGCAGGCTGTATAAATATAAATGATAGTTAGGAAATAGAGTAAGAACCAAACTCCATGAACAGATTTTACTACAAGTATATGGAGCGCTGTCTTTTTCTATGGTGTAGCGTCTATTTCTGAGCAGGGATGTCTCAGGCTTTGACACGTACAGAGATGTTTTTGAGACCCATGTGTGTACGTGCTTGGTATTTTTATGTCTTAGCTGCATGTGAACTTTCCATGACTTTAAATTTTTTTTTTCTTCCTCTAAGAAGAGACTTTGGAATGAGCTGCCATTTGTGGTGATAATACAGGCTTCTTGTTTTAGGAAGCGTCTCTCACTCTCTGAAGTCTTTCAACTCTGAAGATAATTGTTGGAGGGTTATTGCAAGCGTGTGTGCAGCTTGGAGAGCCAGACCCAGGCTGTGGAACCATTGACAAGGTCCTGGAAGGTTCTGATCTCTCTCTCCTTGCTGTTCACTGCGCAGTCTTCCCAGGGTGATTCCTGCAATTCCGCAGGCACAGGTCCTTATCTCATGGAGCCGTCTTTTCAGCGGGCTAAACTCTCCAAGTTTGAAAGTACTCACAAATTCCTTCAGTGACATCCTTTTTTTTTTCCTTTGTTTCTAAAATGTGAAGCTTTAAGACCAAATTGTTAGCAAGCAGCAGAATGACCAGTTATTTCAAGTAGATTTTATTGGATTGCAGAACACACAGCATTGACTCTGAAGGATACTACTCTTTGTTTTCTATATAAATAATTACTGTTTATGATGTAGATTTTCCTATTCAATGCTTAGAGAACCATTGTGAAGTGCATCAGGTTGATTTGAATAAAGACACTATGATAACCAAGTTTGACAGGTAAAGGAACCTTCCTGCCAAGCTTTGTAAAAGTGATGTCTTACGGTGGGAAATAATAGGCAGGTTAAACAAACAAAAAAAATTCACTTTTTTTCCCCCCAAGAATATAGTCAGATGTCTTTAAGAAAGAAAATATTTCTAAATTAGCTTTGAAGTTCTTCATTTTTTTTTTCTAGCATTTGATGAAGTCTAAACAAAAAATTAAGAATGTTTATCACCTTGTTTCTGTCTTGCTTCAACCTGGTAACACTTGATTTGCCTTCTATGCTCTCTTTATTTCAAGTGTTCCTATTTGACTTTCTGTGGGAAGCAGGTAAATCTGATGGCCCACTGACTGTGAATAACATTGGAGAGGCTGAGCACGTTCAGAGAACGAAGTAGCTAAACCGCCAGAATACACAGCTTGTGTGCAGTTGGTGTCATGGCAGTCAAGAAGGAAACCATACTTGACACGAGAGCCTCTTGCGACAGGCGGCTCGTGGCCACTTCTGAAATCCGGTAGCAATCTGTCAACAGTACAGCTGAACCTGGGTATATTTTTGTTTTCAGCATTGAGAACATTTAATTTTACCTTTTTTGAAATTATCTGAAATTATAGATTATTACTTAAAATATGTATCCTCAGAGGAGAGCTTATAGGGTGGCGTCATGCCGTGTTTAGAGGTGGCTCCGACAGAGGAGGGGAGCATTCACGTTCCCGTGCAGATTTGCGTCACAGGGAAATAGACTGCCTGATTGCAATGGAGAACTCAGCAATCAGTGGTTGATATTAACAGTACAGTGCTTAAGGAGCTTTACACCTGTTTACAGTGGGGGGACTTAAAAGGCAGGCTTCATCATCTTTCTCACATCTGAAGAAAATTGGCTTAGAAATACTTGCAAATAGAATCAAGAGCAGAACCATACAGATTCGCTCATCGGGTCATACAAGAAGTTACTTTCAGTGTAGTAGGGACATTTACCATTCTGAACGGTGGCAACTGAAGACCCAGCCAGCCAAACTCAGAGGAATCAGTTGTTGAGATGATTTGGAAATAACTGAGCCAAAGTGATTATGCATTCTTCATCTAATTTAGTTAGCACTTTGTGTCAGCATATACAGTTTACAATACATGTATAACTTGTAGCTATAAACATTTTGTGCCATTAAAGCTCTCACAAAACATTTCCTGTCACTTCATTGTTTTTATATCCTGCGTGTTGCTTGGGAGTCCAGAGGTGCCAAGACCTGATGCCCACACAGAGCTGCCCATCCCCCAAAACTGGGGTACCTCCCTGGGCCAGAGAGGCAACCTCTGGCCTCCCATGCTTCCCTGGTCAGGGAGTTGGTCACCCCTGAGGGGATGACTCTGTCATGTGGTGGAGCTCTGTCCTGTCCTGTCCTGGCAGCTTGTGCAAAGTGCAGTGCCCTGGAGCGTTCCAGACGATGTACTGCCAGGCAGCCAGAGGAGATTGTGTAGGGGAGACCACAGAGGGAAAGACAAGCAGGCGTGCAGGTTCCACAGGGAGTCGGGAATGGCCGCCACTGAGGTGTGTTCCAGAAATAGCAGGACAGTTCCATGTGGATGGAGAAGGTATGGAGAGGGAGGAAACTGAACGCACAGGTCATGTTGAGCCTGGCTGGAATTCCTCCGCCCTTCCAAGAGGTCTCACTTAGCTGGAAAGTCAACAAGGTAGCTCAGGGGCTTTAGTGGTTTACTTAAACTGGGAAGTAATGTGAGACATGTCTTAAAGGGCCATGCCACATTGTGAAGAAAGTACTAATGCAAGGAGATGGCTCAGTTCTGCAAGAGAGGAGTGATTTGAGCCTGCCCTTGCCTGTAACCCCAGGGATGGCAAAGGTGGACCAGGCAGGCAGGCACAAGAGACAAAGTGAGCACGGAACTGGAGAGAAAATGAAACGAGAAGCTAGGTAGATACTGCCTTCTAGTATGGTAGTTTTGGTCCTGAACCTGTATTCCTATAGTAATATCAGTAATAGTTTGAATTTTGAATATCATGAATATGAAGCATCTGGGACATTTGCTTGGACATAACCAGAAGACACCAGGTAGAAGTAGAACACAGGAGAAATGGCTGGAGTGGAAATGAAACCACATAGACAGTCATGCTGTCTGTATGGTATGGAACCATCTCACCGTGGGGACAGGAGAAAGGAACCACCAGGTCACCATGGAGCCTAAGTTGATGGAGCAGAAGAGAAGCATGGGAGGAGGACCCCACAGTAGGAGTGGTGCCCAGCTCATCATGTTGAGTGAGCGAGTAGATAAAGACAGACTTGCAGACCACCACCAACCTTTGCCAAGAGCATTGTAGCCGCAGGAGTACAGGACCCTCAAAAAGAGAGCAGTGGGTCAGTGAGTGAGTAGCAAGGCAGTGTTTGCTTTTCTGAGTAAACTTGGTGGTGCCAGAAACAAGGAGGAAGTGTCAAATGGGAGATGGAGTGGTGAGATTTTTGGCCTAATTGGGATACAGGGATCCAGGTTTGTGAGCTAGGGAGAGAAATGCAAGGGAAGGATTTAAAGGGACAAGGAAGCAAATAGACAGTTCATAGAGTATATTCCTCTCCATGCAAGGAACAAGTGGGGAGAAATACCTAGAGAAGAGCAAGTTGACAAAGCATGCGTGGTAGACTAGGGATTGATGATAGGGAATGGAGAGGTGAGTGAGTGGTTAGTGTTCACGGTTAGTGCAGAGAGCCAAGTCTGGTGACCCTGTTTGCTCACAAACACAAAATTTTTGTCCAGGAGCCTGGGGGCAGAGGCAAATTTCTTTCAGTATCTCCTGAAAGGAAACCTAGTGAAAACTGAAGTCACCATTCTCCTGCCATCATCCCCTGGTACCGACTGCCAGTATCAGAGAGGCTAACAGGCTAGCGCCACAGGGCGCTGCACCCCTCAGGCTGGGCCGCTGGAAGCTCTCAACTTCAGCTGTCAGGCAAAAGCAAGGTGTTAGATGAGGTCCTCTCTTGGGGCTTAATTATGTAATTGTAGTTAGTAAGTTACATGGTTCAGACTTAGAGAAGGATTGAGAATGAATGAACTAGGAATAAATACTCTGGGCATTTTATAAACTTTACATTGGGTAGGGGATCCATGATGTGTAAGTTTATTGTAAAATCTGCTTTTTGGGCCTTTTGGTAAATGGACCAAGATGCTGAACTGGGATACAGAGAAAAATGTGAATTCTGGATTGTCAGATAAACAGAATACAAATCACAAATGCTTCATGCAGCTGGCCTTATTCTTGCTGTTTAAACTTTCACACCTTAATTCGCGGATTTATATGCCTCCGTTGTACGAGAGATGTGAAATTCAAAGTATTACCATGTCCATAAACCAATTATACAATTGAGTGTGCTATTTTTTAGAGGGAAAAGAATTTGACTTCCATGTCTTTCATTTATTCCTATTTCTTACCCAAAATCATAAAAATAAAATACAAAAGACAGAAAGGTAGGCAACTTACAAGTGGAAGAGAAAAACAGTTTTGGCAGAGGCCTCATTTCTCAGGTTGAAAAAAACAGCTCACAGGAAGTAAATTGGCAGTGCCAAGTCCTATAGATAATACGGTTAAGTGCTGTCAGTTCTTAGATTTCAAAATGTAAATTTTGAAAGTTTGCCCGAGAAAAATGGGGTTGGAAACAGGGTGAGGGCAGAGGTAACACAAATCTCACCTGAAATTCCTTGGCTGTCACTTAATAAAGCTATACCTTTGCTTTCTAAGGCATCCTTATTTGATATAGTATCATTCAGTTCTGTTTTCTTGGTGGTTTATGTTTGCTAGTCCTAGGTTTTTCCATTGTGTTCTTTGATAAATCTTTCTGTTACTTCTAAAGCCAGCTCCACTTAATGATGTGCTTTGATGGTATACCTGATGGGTGTTAACTTCACTGTTTCCTGGAGATCCCCCAATGTCTACAAGTGCTTAGGCAGTTTTTGGCTCACTAGCTACAGGGGTGAATGAATAGCATTTGAAGGCAAGGTGGAATTTGGCTTAGGAAGTGGGAGAAACAAACCTCATGAGTGTTCTTGAGAGTTAAAATTTGAAATTAAAAAAATTTTTAAAGACTTTCTTACTTGAGAGACTCACAGATTTTTCATGTACTGGCTCATTCCTCAAATGGCTGCACAGGCCAGGGATCCTGGAATTCAAGTCTCTCACATGGGTGACCGGGAGCTAGGGACTTCAGCCATGTTCTGCTGCCTTCCCATGTGGACTAGCAGGGAGCTGGATCTGAAGTAGAGCATCCATAACTCAGATGGGTGACCAAGAAAGCATGGGTGCTGGTGGTGGCTTAACTCACTGCACTGTACACTGGCCGCAAGCTACACCTTCTCTGCAGTTTACATCTTTGGAACACTACTAGAAACCTCTGTCTCCTCAACCTCCTTAAAACTGCCTTTTCTGCCACTCTGTCTCTTCAACCTCACCTCAAGACTGGGGACCTACCTGTTTTTAGTTTGGGAAACATTAAGACTTCTGAGTTTCAGGCCCTGCGCAGTGGCCTTGTGGCTGAAGTCCTCACCTTGAACACGCTGGGATCCCATATGGGCGCCGGTTCTAATCCCGGCAGCTCTTCTTCCCACCCCGCTCCCTCCTTGTGGCCTGGGAAAACAGCTGAGGATGGCCCAAAGCCTTGGGACCCTGCACTCGCATGGGAGACCTGAAGGAAGTTCCAGGCTCCTGGCTTCAGATCGGCACAGCACCGGCCATTGTGGTCGCTTGGGGAGTGAATCAGTGGATGGAAGATCTTCCTCTCTGTCTCTCCTCCTCTCTGTATATCTGACTTTGCAATAAAAATAAATAAATCTTTGAAAAAAATAAAAAGACTTCTGAGTTTCTACTGAGTGTGTGTTGCTTTCACACCATGGTAAAGCTAAGAAATTCTGAGTTCAGACCCAGTGGCAGTGGGGCCATCGATGGTGGTTCTTGTCCAGTTTCCTCAAGGTCTGGGCTCTCTCAGGAAATCTGGGTTTTATCCATGCCCTACCAGGTCCCAGAATTAACAGTGTGCTTGTCACAGCTTATATGCTAAAAAGATCGAAAATGATCAGGTTTTATTTTCAAAACAAACCAGCATTAAATGAGTGTCATTGGACTTGGCTGAAATCAGGTAATATATTTTTGCTGTGATAAGGCAGGCATCAGAAAGGGCTGAACCCCAAAGTAGTATATAGAGTGGAACTGAAGGCCCCCAAATTTCTTTGTTTGAGGGAGGAGAGTGCGTAAGAAACATTTAACGTAGGCCCAGCACAGTGGCCTAGTGGCTAAAGTCCTTGCCTCGCATGCGCTGGGATCCCGTATGGGTGCTAGTTTGTGTCCTGACTGCTCCAATTCCCATCCAGCTCCCTACTTGTGGCCTGGGAAAGCAATTGAGGATGGCTCAAAGCCTTGGGACCCTGAACCCCATAGGAGACCTGAAAGAAGCTCTTGGCACCTGGCTTCAGAGCTCTGGCTGTTGTGGCCACTTGGGAAGTGAACTAGCAGATGTAAAATCTTTCTGTATCTCCTTCACTCTGTAAATCTGACTTTCCAAGAAAAATGCATAAATCTTTAAAAACAAACAAGCATACACTTAAGGAGAAGAGTAGAATTTACAGATATCATGACCTGACGAGGCATGAGTATCAAACTGATGGTTTCAAATTCTAGTTTAGGAGCCTACACTGTGGTGTAACAGGTAAAACTGGCACCTGCACTACCAGCATCCCATATGGGCACTGGTTTACATCATGGCTGCTCCAGTTCCTTTCCAGCTCCCTGCTAATGAACTGGGAAAGCAGTGGAAGATGGCCCAAGGCTTGGGCCCCTGCCACCCACGTGGAAGACCTGGAGGAGCTCCTGGCTTGAAGCCATTTGAGCAGTGAATCAGCAGTTAGAAGATCTCTCTCTCCTCTCTCTGTAACTCTGACTTTCAAATAAACTAGTAAGCCTTTCTTTTTATCTAGTTTAAACCTCTACCTTTCTGACTTACACATTGTTTACAAATAGTGGTCTTACCCTCTGTTAGAGGCTTGTGTTAGAACTCTCACAAGCCAAACAGGCTGTGTGGTCATTTGGTTTAATGAAGGGATTGGAGGCCCCACAGGCTTGGCTGGCATGACATGAAACGGGACAGGGAGTATTCAAGCCCTAAACATCTTTTATGGGCTGGGACTGCAC